AAATTACAGGAATATTATTTAGGCAAATGGTCGCCGGAAAAGACTGAAGAACTTACAAAAGTATGGGAAACTGATCGCAAGGCAGGTATTAAATATAAAACCACCAAAATTGAAAACACCAGATATCCATACTTTGAACTGGAAATGTCTGATGGAACTATGTGTGATATTATTGATTCACCACGTACGACACGTGTTCGCTACGTTTGTTATCCACACGGCAAGAACGAGATATATTCATTTAAAGAAACGTCTTCTTGCAATTATGAAGCAATTATTCTTACATATATGCTTTGTATGAATCCTGCTTTCCACCCAGAAGAATCGAAAGAGGTTTCTATTAAATGTTTCAACGGGCTTACCGATGTACATAAACCACTAAGTATGTTGCGACAAGAGCTTAGTGAAATGCAATCAGCAGATGATGAACTGCGCATATCGAATGATGCGAGTGCTGCTGCAATGGCTCTGGCACGTTCGGCCGCGGCAGCTGAACGTTTATCTTTCTTCAATAAAGTCGGACCGGATGTTGATAAGCTTGTTCATGAGTTAATGATTGGTGCTGGTGTTGATGTACCAACGCCACCATCAGCTGACAATGAAGTTTTGCCAAATCTACCAAAAGCACCTATCACAGACATAACACCTATAAAAGAGTTCATATCGGGTAGTAATTGTTTGACTGGGGTTAGTATATATATGTTCACATATACATACTTATGTTTTATATAATATGCATAAAAATATATTTTCAGGGTACTGGTTGGTGGAAATATGAATTTTGTTACGGTCGACATGTACGCCAATTTCATAAGGATAAAAAATTGGAGTCGGAACTCTTTTTAGGGTACTTTTCCGAAAGTTCACATCGTCAATGGTTGGCGAAAAATTTGGACAAAATGCCCAAACGTGGTGGTTATTCCACAGCTCTTTGGCATCACTATGATCGTGGAACACATTGCGATCGTACGGGTTCTCCGCGCGAGGTAGATGTTAAATTAATGTGTACTCCGATTAGTAGTAGTTCGAGTTCGGTTTCCATATATTTGTTGGAACCAAAGACATGTCAATATATACTTGTTGTAGAGTCGCCAATTATCTGCGATCTGATGCAGTTAGCTGATGAATACGGTTTAGTGCAGGAAGACAATTTACAACAACTACTTCAGAAAAATACAATGCCAAATGAAGAAAATATAAAAGAGTCATCTACAACACCAACTAAAGCTGCCGGTGAAGCTGAAGCCATAGAGGTGTTACACGACGCAGTAATACCACAAGTAGTACTTGCATGAAAAATAATGTTTAATATGTATTAATAATTATATAGTACTACACTCTTGAGTGATATGCAAAACAAGTTTCAACACTATAGCTTAATAAAATAAGTTTTGATTTTTAAAATTATAAAAAAATATAAAATTTTTCACCAAGTCAAATTAAGAGTACATAGGTGGTGGAATTTCATCTGGACCGATTTCTTTTTTATGTCCACCTGCGAAGCTTTGTTGATCCGAATGAATTTCTGCAATTACTTCCGTAAACAATTTATCCCATTCCCATACTTCGTCCGGTTCATCTAAGGTATCTGGTAATTTTAAGCAGCGTGTCAAAATCGTAAGATCAATATTTTCCAATGAAGCAAATGCACTTTGATTTAATAAATCCGAATTGATTTCGCTCAAAGTGTTTAAACGTTGGGGGTTAGAACTGTAACGGAAACCTTGTCATTATATACATTTTTATACTTTTTGCTTGTGTACGCACATAGGTGGTTCAACAATTTCATTAAGTAAAATTTCATCTTTTAAATCATCCATGTCCGGAATAGTGGGTATTTCATCTCGCGGCGGTGAGCCGACAGGAGACTTTGCGAGAGACACGCTTTGGAAACGTTCACTTAAAACAAACATATGAAAATAGTAATACAATTATTTTTTAACACAAATATGTTAGTGTGTGTAAACTAATTTTTTCCAAACTCACTCATCAAATGATGCTCCTTTTTTGGATCTAAAATATGATTGTATAAGAGATAAGATAATTAAAAGTTTTTATTCGGAACAATTAGTACCGTTATTTACTTTGAACTTTTCAGTAAGCCAACATCAGCCCAACCACCCGATATGCGTCGTGGCGGTGGTTTCTTTGAGCCATCGGTTTCTTCGCTTGTAGCAGTACTAGAATTCTTTTGCAAATCCAATGTTATATCGATAGTTATTTCTTTTTCATTTTGATTGGGATTGGTTACGTTGATACTGGTTGTAGCCCCACCAACTGGATCACGGCTTTTGGAGCGCCGTCCTTTACGGGCAGTTTTCTATGCAGAATACACAATTAACCGTAAGTATTTGAGGAAAATTATAGACACGGAAATTATGATTTACTCTACCTTTCGTATAGATAATTTTAATTCTTCTGCCCAATCCATCATTGAAATCGTTAACGTTTGTTACCGTTAATTGCAAAATTGATGAATAAATGTTTTTGTTTTGCAAATAATTTTTGTATTTGTTGTTGCTTAGCAACAGTTGTTTGGCTTTGTGTTCTTGTTCGTAATAGCTCGCTGCTACCCTTTCCAGCATTCCTTTTCACTTTCAAATTCTTTGAATGGTTGCAAGAGCGCTCGGTTTCAAATAAATTCGTTCACAAATTTGAATTCTGTGATTTATTTTTTGTATGTAATATGCAAATATGTATGCATAGAATAATAGAAATATTTTGAAAGATTGTAAATAAGGAGAAAATTAAGATATACTTAGATTATGGAGTAAAGAAATTATGAATTTTTAATAATTAAAGATTAGGAAATTCCTGTTATAAATTTGGCCTTGAAGATATTAGTGGCGGATATTCAAAACATTCTGGTGGATTAGGGAATTATATTAATCGGGGAGGTATTATGGTAATTCATTGCAAGCAAAATGTGTGATCAACATCTCAACATACAAATGAAATATAACACGCTGTAAGTGTTGCGCAGGCGAAACCCCACAAATATTTACGAAAATTTTGTGAAAAGGAATGCAGAAAAACTAGACTCGAGTTGCTGGACACTTTTTGACCGTGTGAATGTACAGAGCGACACCAAAAGAGAATTTGAAAAATATGAGGGTCAAAAAAGTCCTAATGTAAAAGCCGTCTTACAAAACACAAAACCTTGTGCAAATGTAGTTACCGTATTTGTAAAGTGTGAACTAAAAATTTAAAATTAAACTCAGTTCTTGTATATTTCTGATGTTTTTGAAAAAGTCACTAAAAACATATACAATTCTTTATAGTACCATAACAATAGTTTTGAAATTGAAAGATAATCGTAAAACAAATTACGCTTCTAAGTTGTTTATCTTATTTATTAAGCACGGCAGCACTATAAATCACCTGTTTCACAACTGCTTGCAGTTGAACGTGCCGCCTCACTATCCTCCCTAGTAAAGAAATCTACTGCAATAGTTTTTTTTTTATAGATCACATAAACAAATGCCTCCAAAAAGTTCAAATAAGAAATCAACTGCGACGTGGTATCATTGCGAAATATGCGATGTACATATTAAGTCAAAGGATCGCGAGACACACGAGAAGTACTGTCCCATTAAAGAGGATTCTACGGAGCCACTGGAATATATCCATCAAAACAAATTATATACAGTTGGAGCAGAAAAGCGTACTTTTAATGTTGAACAATTACAAGATGTATCGACAAAATATGTAAACAACTTAGTTTTTATTTCGGAAGGCGCTATGAAACTCACAAATTTATACATCGGTCAAAGAGTGCTAATAAGACCAGTAGACGCATCAGAATCAGTGGGATTGGTGCGATTGATTTGGCCCATACCTGAAAGGTTTTTAACAACAATCTTTGTCAGCGAAGGAGGTAAATAATGCTTTGCTTTCTATTATTATACTCTCGCAACCTGTTGCTACAGAGTATAATAGTTTTGTTCACCTAACGGTTGTTTGTATCACCTAAAACTAATCGAGTTAGATATAGGGTTATATACATATATATAAATGATCAGGATGAAGAGACGAGTTGAAATCCGGGTGACTGTCTGTCCGTCCGTGCAAGCTCTAACTTGAGTAAAAATTGAGATATCTTTATGAAACTTGGTAGACATGTTTCTTGGTACCGTGAGACGGTTGGTATTGCAGATGGGCGTAATCGGACCACTGCCACGCCCACAAAACGCCATTAATCAAAAACAAATAAATTGCCATAACTAAGCTCCGCAATAAGATATAACACTGTTTTTTGGTACAAAGGATCACATTAAGGAGGGGCATCTGCAGTTAAAATTTTTTTTAAAAAGTGGGCGTGGTCCCGCCCCTAATAAGTTTAATGTGCATATCTCCTAAACCGCTAAAGCTATAATAACCAAATTCACTAGGAGCAAATGTTTATTAAATATATATTTGTGTATTTTTACAGACTATAACAATTATTGGTCCGAGTTACGAGAGAAAAATCTCAAAATAACTGCACTGCCAGAAGGTTGCGTATCAGTTGCAAAGTCTGTTGTTCTACGTTTAACACAGGTGTCTGGCGAAAACACAGAACTGGTCGAAGCTCAAGTAATAGAAGTGGAGCGCTTGTTAAAGTTCGAATTGAAGAATTTGATATTTACGAAAGACAGTCATATTTTCATGGACTTTTTTAACAAACAGCTCATTTTGCAAGTGGTTTCGTGGAGGAGTTTTTTGGAAGACTCATGTGCTAAAAACGATGAAATTTCATTAACTGAAACATTGGAAAACTTAACGTTGAAGTCTGAGGCAGCAACAAAGTACTTCGAAGTAACATTGGGTACGAAAATTAATATAGAACGAACAAAATCTACCGAAATTAAAGAAAACTCCTCACACATGACTAGTGTAAAGAAAATAGATATCGGCGGATTGGACAGCCAAATTGAGATCATTGAAGAAACTATGGATATCGCTTTGGGAATAAAAAATTTGCCTGCGGGTAAGAAATAAATATTGCTAAATGCTATTCCTTTTGAATGTATTATATATTGTATTTAAGAATTTTTGATATGATATTTATTGTGTTTATTTCAGGTGTGAAAGTTTCGCGGACATTACTCTTGCATGGGCCCACAGGATGTGGCAAAAGCTTAATCTGCGAAGCAATGTGTTCAATTATACAGGAGAAGACTGCTAAATCAGATAGGGGGAATATTATGCGAATTAATAGCAGTGAACTATTCAGTAAATTTCTTGGTGAAACCGAAAAAAATTTAAAGGCTAATTTCGATAAGGCCTTCGAAAACTATCCGCAACCAACACTTATAATCATCGAAGACGTACATAATTTGTGCCCAAAATATGAAACCAATGAAATGACTAAACGCATCGGAGCCGCATTTTTAAATATACTAGATATGCTGAACAGTGGGAGGGACGAGGCACAACGCATCTTTTTACTAGCTACCACATCTCAAATCCACACACTCAATCCGAATGCACGTCGCTGTGGTCGCTTGGATAGTGAAATTGAAATTGGTGTTCCAACACCTAAAGAGCGCTCTGCGATTATTCACTGTCTGCTACGCAAAATTGTACATACACTTTCCCTAGATGACGTTAACGCTGTGGCTCAAGTATTACATGGTTTCGTCGGCGCTGATATAGCCAATCTTATATATGCGGCAGCTTTGCGTGCAATGAAAGATGGTAATCGTGCATTGAACATAAATGACGTGCATGCGTCATTGACACATATCAAACCATCAGCGATGCGTGAAGTCCTTATAGAAAACCCGAATGTGCATTGGAGTGATATAGGAGGTCAGGCAGATTTGAAATTGAAGTTGAAGCAAGCAATAGAATGGCCGTTGCTACATCCCGAGAAGTTTAAACGTTTGGGCTTGAAACCGCCACGTGGCATTTTGATGTTCGGCCCACCGGGTTGTTCCAAAACGATGATCGCTAAAGCACTTGCTACCGAAAGTCAATTGAATTTTCTTTCCATAAAAGGACCTGAACTTTTCTCAATGTGGGTAGGCGAATCCGAGCGGGCGGTACGTGAAATTTTTCGAAAGGCACGCCATTTATCGCCATCTATTGTATTCTTTGATGAAATAGATGCTATTAGTGGAGAGCGGTCAGATGGCGGCTCCAGTTCGGGTACATCCGTTAAAGAACGCGTACTTACACAGTTACTCACGGAAATAGATGGTGTGGAGGCTTTGGGGAATGTCACCATTGTAGCAGCAACCAATCGACCTGATATGATTGACAAAGCACTTTTGCGCCCAGGTCGTTTCGATCGCATTGTCTACGTAGGTCTACCAAATGCGGAAGCACGACAAGAAATCTTCCGCATTAAATTATTACCTATGCCGTTAGCGGATGATGTAGACATAAATATGCTTGTGCAACGCACTGAAGGTTATTCCGGTGCCGAGATACAAGCTGTATGTCAAGAAGCAGCTTTAAAATGTTTAGAGGATAGTTTCGACGCTGAAAGTGTAAATTGGACGCATTTCGAATTCGCTTTAAATGCGGTACAACCACGTACAAGTCCGAAACTCTTGGCTCTCTACAATGAGTACAATAAACAAAGCAGATGCTAGCAGATGCACGAAACTAACAAACTACATGATTTGTTGAGAAATCCAAAATATCGTTCTTCGTAAAGTCATCATATCCTCCATTATTTTGTAATGCCTCCTTTTTGTCAACAGCTGCGGTAATTGTTACGGTTTCGAGTTCGGTATTCAAGCCTTCGTTGCTTATGCAATGTATATCACTCAAACTGGATAAATTATTTAGTACAGTAAAGTTGCTCTGCGCATTTATACCTATATCACCCATATCAACAGCGTCGGTTGCGATCGCTTCGGGTGTTCGCAAGATGTTCAATAATGTCGAATTCTTTAACTCTGTAGTTTTAAAATTAAAGTTGAGATTTTCGCTAAAAAAAAAAACAACAAATAAAAACAATGTAAATTTATATATAAATATGTAGTACGTATATATTATATAATATATAAATAACTATAAGAAAAATGATTGCTGCTATACCTTTTAGAAGAGTGTTTTTTCATATGGCGTGCCAAGGCGGATGATTGATTAAATTTCCATTCACAAAATTTGCATTGAAAAGGCTTTTCACCTGAGTGAATACTAAAAGAAATGATAAAATAAAACATAACAGCAAATTTTATCTGCAATTAAATTACCGTATGTGAGAAACCAAATTTGATCGCCTGCCAAATAATTTGCCACAATCAGCACACTTGTGCCGGCGCATGTCTCGATGCATTGCCGCAATGTGCTCCATTAAATAACTACGTTTTGTAAATGCCTTTTGACACTTTCCACACACATTGTCCTTTACGGTTTTATGCACAGGCTCGTGGCGGCGTAATTCACGCAGTGTTTTAAAGTCTCGATTGCATTGGCCACAAAGGTATTCACGTTGCTCCAAATGCGTTGTCTTGTGTGCCTTCAAATTGCTGGATGTGGTAAAGAAGTTAGCACAAATTTCACATTGGAAACGCTTTTCGCCAGTGTGTGTACGCTGGTGTATAAGTAAATTGCTAGATTGCTTAAACTGCCGTGGACATTGCTACGATACATTAAAAAGTCAAAACAAAATAAAGTGAATTTTTTTATACGTGTTTTTGGTTGAATATATGTATGTATGTATGGAGATGTGTATTTTAGTTTTTGCATTGTATTTTTATTGTTTACTTATAAGTGTAAAACTCTTTGCTAACTGATGATATACTAAAATAACGAAGGTATTTTTAGTATTGGAATGTGTTTTTTTTTGCGGAAAGATCGCACTTTTTATTTATCACTTTGATCAGTCGAATCTTTTATACTCACATAAGTACGAGTATGTATGCAGTTCAGTTTATTTACAATTGTTAGCTTAGTTTTTAAAGAAAGAAATACTAGCATTGTCCGGCTTTATACTCGTATTGTCTTTACGTCACATGTTAGTTTAGTGATGCGGAGTGTGTGGTAATCATTTTTTTTAATCAGCAATGTTCTTATTTTAATCGCTCTGATAGCTATGATTATAGTCCTATTTTAATTGCTTTGATAGCTATGATAAAGTATGGTTAATTGACGTCTTGGCATTGCAAGAGATTTAACATGTTTGTGCACATTAGTTAAGCGAAGCGTGTTGTTGCTACAGGTGCTGGCGTAGTTCGATGTTATTTATTTTTATTTAGTTGCTGCCAAACATTTGGCGGTCAGATCGCACTTAAGATGCAATCGTGGTTACGTGTTTCATTGTTGTTATGGGCATTTGGATTTTTTCGTGAGTTTCGTCCATCTGAACCGTTTGTTACCGAATTTTTGAGCGGTCCGTGGCGTAATATCACTGCTGAGCAGGTTAATAAAGAGATTTATCCATTTGGTACTTACTCTGTGCTAGCACAACTTGCCATCATTTTCCTAATAACGGATATTCTTCGCTACAAACCGATCATTATTGTCTCCGCGTGCTCAGGCATAATACTCTACGCTATTCTCTTGTGGACAGATCAAATATGGGAGTTACAAGTGGGACAAGTATTTTACGGCACTTTTACGGCTACCGAGGTTGCGTACTACACATATATTTATGCCAAAGTGGACAAGGAGCGATATCAGATTGTCACCGGCCATACGCGTTCGACAATTTTATGTGGAAAATTTTTATCTGCAGTTTTAGCGCAAATTTTGGTTTCTACCGAAATTATGGATTACAAGGGCCTGAATTATATCTCATTCGGTTCGCATATTATTTCGCTTTTAATCGCTATACTTTTGCCACCGGTACGTAGAAGTTTGTATTTTTACACAAATCAAAGTAGTGAACCTACAGACTTTAGAGCAAAGCAGAATTCGGTTACGAATAATATACAAAATGAAGGTGAGTCCTACAGTACAACGTTTATGCACAATTCATCACAATAATTTTTAAATATTTAACAACTTTAGTTTTATCAAAAAATGGAATAGCTGCTGATATCACAACTACTTTAAGCGACATATCTACCGTATCGCCGAAATTTTCATGGTTCAATGCGTATAAATTAATTGTGAATCACATGGTGAGTGCTTATACTAATCAAAACGTGATTCGTTGGAGTTTCTGGTGGGCTTTTGCCACATGCGGACAAGTTCAAGTGTTTTCTTATGTGCAAATTCTGTGGAAGGAAATAGATCCAAGTGACGAGAGTTTCTACAATGGCGCGGTCGAAGCAATTGCAACGCTTTTAGGTGCTGGCAGCGCTATGTTCGCTGGAATCGCTAACACTAGCCATCATAAAAAGTGGCATATGTGGATATTGACTGTCTGTTCGCTATTTATGGGGACTTTCATAATTATTTCATCGCTGACACATTCTGTTTGGGTTGCATATGCTATGTATATTCTTTTTGCTATTTCATATTTCTTCGTTATAACTACTGCCAGTGCGATTGTGGCAGAAAATTTGGCAGACGATAGTTTTGGCTTGATTTTTGGTATTAATACACTAGCTGCTCTTGTGCTACAGGCAATTTTGACACTAGTAGTGGTGACTGATACGGGTTATGGTCTAGGCCCACGTGAGCAATTTTTTGTTTATGGCTGTTACTACATTGTAGTGGCAATTATGTACTTTGGCGCTGTATTCTTGCGAATGTTGTTTAAGAAACCACCGCGTGTTTAGTACAAAACAAAAAATATATTTTAACGCCCAAAATTGTGTACTTATTTCAATAAAACATATATAATATAACTTTACTACTGAAATTATTCCAAAATACATATTTTCGCTATACTTTTTAAAAACAACACATACCTTGCAATGGAAAGTTTTTTCCTTTGAATGCAACAATTTGGTCATTTCAACGGGATTGGAGTTTTTATAATGTTTATTGGGTTCCGAGCGCTTTTCGCTCAACGGCACATCGATACTGACCTTGGTAGAAGTCTATATTACATAAATCATATTATTGTGACTATTGTATGCGAAACAAACAAAAGATACCGAAATAGCTAGGTCCGCAGTAATATCGGTTTTCAAGTTGATTTCTCTATTTAAGCTCAAGTGTGGATGTTTGATTGCAAAAACTTCATTCAATGTATCTTCATTGGCTTCTGATCGTGTCAAACTGCTGACGTCAATTTCGATATCATTTAGCATGTCCTCGCCCGCCACTGCGCACACTTTATCATTAATAACTTCATTATTCGTTTGCATAGTACTGCGTTCGAACATGTCGCATATATTGCTATAAATAGCAGAGGTAACACCAGCATCCTTGCAGGTATCACCAATTGGTGCACTTGAAGAAAAGCATGAGGAATCCTGATTTCTGTTGAAATTAAATTGAATTTATCAATTGTTATACATGATAGTGAATCAATTTAATTTCACATTGTATTTGTGCTTATTCCACATATTCCCAGGCTACCGCCAGCAGTACCATTCCCTATATAATCACGTAATCGGCGTTCAGATGCTTCAGCAAGCTGTTGTAAGTTATAAGCATCCAATAGCCGGTACAAACATGACTGACAAAGAAGCGTTGGTAATGTTTCATCATACTACCAAAGAAATCGAGAAAACATTTGTATATTTTAATATGGTCTATTTTAATTCTTTGGTAATGTTGCAGGCAAGCCACGAACCTTGAATATATTCAATTTTTCTACTATTTCAATAGGCCTCAATGGAAAAGTGGGGCTATAAAGGTATATAGACATTAACAACTCACTTTTTAAGCAAATGCGACAGCAACTTGTCTGAAAATTCATAACTTGTTCACTTAACTTTTGGCAAAAAAAAACAATGTGTGACGCGAAACAAAATATACAACGATAGTCCAAGATAACACAGCTGAATGATGTACACAAGTGTGGCCAGAATTTGGAAATTTTTCCCAGTGATATCCATATACATTTATTACTAACAACTGTTCATAATTTATCAAAAGATAACAAACGAAATTAAAACATTGCGTTTTCAAAAACACATCTAGAAAATAGCCTGGAATAAAATGTATATGAATTGTAGTAGAAAAGCTGAAAGGTTTCGGCTAAAGTAATTTTTATGTCTGGTAACATTTCTCTTCATTGATAACATTCATCCCAATTCGTAATTTTTGTGTTTTGCTTAATCTGAGTCATCCTCCTATCAATATTTAGTTATTACGAACATTCTTTAACTAAACTTATTGTTAAGTGATATCTTGAGATTTTTCTTTAAAGAAATTTCCAATAAATTTAAGTAAAAATATTCAACGATATAAAGCCTACGGAAATGAGTAGTGAATCGATTGGAACTGGCAGCAATAATTTAGCTTCAACGAACCCAACGCCGTTGTTGTCTGAGTTATACTCCCAGATTGACTTCTACATTGGAGTGGGGTTAGCAATTAGTTCTTGCTTTTTTATCGGATCTAGTTTCATAATAAAGAAGAAAGCTCTGATGCGTTTAAGTAGACAGGGTGAGATGCGAGCAGCTGCTGGCGGATACGGATATTTGAAAGAATGGATTTGGTGGGCTGGCTTATTAACAAGTAATTCCCTAGATAATTTGATAAATGTAAAAGCTACTTTAAAACTTTTATTTATAGTGGCACTCGGGGAGGGTGCAAATTTCGCAGCTTACGCGTTTGCACCTGCTTCGCTTGTAACACCATTAGGTGCTTTAAGTGTGATTATATCAGCAGTAATGGCGTCGAAATTTTTAAATGAAAAACTTAATCTTTTGGGAAAAATTGGTTGCGTTCTATGTATCTTGGGTTCTACCATCATCGTAATACATTCACCAAAAGAGAAAGAGGTTGAAAACTTAGAGGAGTTATTTGAAAAATTACAAGATCCTGGCTTCATTTTTTACGTGCTTTGTATACTTGGCTCAACAGCGTATGTTGCGCTTTTTATTGCTCCTCGATATGGACATTCAAATGTTACGGTGTATACATACCTTTGCTCAGGCATTGGTTCCTTAACTGTAATGTCGTGCAAAGCGCTTGGCCTGGCAATTCGAGATACTTTAAATGGCTCTAGTAACGATTTCACCACTTGGATGCCGTGGTTCCTGATATGTGTAACTGTTACATTCATCGCTATTCAAATGAATTATTTAAACAAAGCTTTGGACGTTTTCAACACCGGCATAGTAACCCCGGTGTATTATGTTATGTTCACGTCCCTTGTGATAACAGCCTCTGCAATACTATTTAGAGAATTCACACATATGCGTTTTGAAGATATATTGGGCGATGTGTGTGGCTTCTTTGTAGTAATCTTAGCTGTTTTCATATTAAATGCATTTAAGGATATGGATGTTTCTTTGAATGATGTGCGCAGCATTATGCGACCCAAAATGCAACGAGTTTCGCAATATGATGAGGAAGTTTTGGTAGCGAATCCCAAAGAGCGGCGATACTCATATGGATCTGGTGATATTTTTCGAAAAGCTTGACGTAAACAACGTCATCGAGTTTAAATATATAATTTTGACCTAAATGTTTAGTTACTAGTTTGCGTTGACGACTAATTACAATCACAATGCCTTTCCTACATTTCCAAATTTCCCTAAAGGGATTAACCTTAGAAAATTAGATATGTATAATTTATATACTTAACATGTATCGGTAGTTTTAATAAAAATAAATCTAATTAATATACAGTATTTGATAAAACATGGCGGTAAATTACACAGAAATTAAATAATTTTGAAGTTTGGCCATATGTAAATTGGAATAGTAATAATTAATATTTAATTTTTGTTCACATGCTTAAACCACTAAATAAATTTTAGTATGATCACTTTATTCAAGAATTTTTTTTTAAATAATTGTTTTTTATGAATATACAGTAGGAAATAGAGTGTTGGAAAATGACTTAACGATCATAACAAATCTAATGACAGCTCTTTTAATTTGTTTATGATTCTTTTTCGTTTATTTTGCTTCTTTGTTTTATTTTGCCTCCTACACACATCATTCTTAATATCCACATCAGCTCCATTGCTGACAGCTGATGATTCAGTTCGGTTTTCAACTTGATTATACCAGATTATACTTTGTAGTTTTCTGTTTTTATTTCGTGGTGTCTTCAATAAAGAATTCAAATAATGTAAATTGGAGAAAATCGTGTATTAGTTATAAAGTTAAGGAACAAGTAAACGGTAGTTGATATTGATTGTGTGCACCTGCGAGTGAGACGTTTTTTATGCGTATTTGTATCATCTATTGTATAAAATAACGAAATACATTTGTTATAAATACTTTTCTAGACCTATAATAAATTGTGTTCAGTAAGTTATTGACCAAAATTGGGTATTATTTTTTGTGGGCGTTCGTTTGAGCAAAACACGCAAATTGTCGCGTTTAGCCGCTGACGAACCTGTAGCTGGCATAATTGAGATGAACCAGCAGCCAGTTGAAAGACGAAACGGTGGCGCTGAGACCGCTGCAAGTGATGAGACGGCACCAATTGCTTCACATCGTAGTAGTGGGGCTTCCTCAATGTTTCGTTCTTTTGGTTCATTGTTTGGAGCAAACAGTAACAATGTTGGAAATAGAGGTATACATTCCCCTACGAATGCGGATGTTCATGGATACGTAGAGTTTGGTATGCAGGATCCAGATAGAAGCGGTCGCACGCTGGGCACTTTTGCAGGCGTATTTAGCCCAGTAGCATTGTCAATGTTCAGTGCTTTAGTCTTCATACGTGTGGGTGAGTACTATTCGTGTAGTTATGTATTTGTTAGTTACAACAAGTATTAATAAACATGCATACATATTGGGTAAAACACATCAGCAAATACCATAAATATGTTAAATGTAAAACACCCTTTAAGTAGTAGGTGATAATGCTTTATATTTTATATTGTATTGCACTAATTGGCAAAAAAAAAAATAATAATAATTGTAAAGAGATAGGAAATTCACATATGTATGTTACAATGACATGCCTACATCTGAATAATTCCAATTGTGTTAAATTACTACTTTAGTCAGTGACTTTATGAAAGAACCCATATTGCAATGGAGAAACCTACAAATTTTTACACCTGCTAATGTATTTTATTATAGCGGAAATACATTTGGCGGTTTGACCTTGCCTCTCGTGTGGTAAAAGCTTTAAGAAACTACTTCTTGATGTTGGTCGGTCTAACGGTTGTATATTTGTAGAACGGCCATTACAATCCCTACACCATAGCGGACAGCTATATTTATATAATAATATAATATAATAGATAAGGATATTTAATAATATAATAGATAAGGTTACCGTTAAATGTTCCAGCAAAGCTAAATCATTTTTATACTATGCCAGATGCAATTAGATAAATATTTTAGCATTGCTGAAAATATTTATTAAAATTTTGGCGTTTGTAATAATATATATATGTATGTACATATGTACGAGTATCTAAATAACAACCTTTTACTGTAGACATAGGAATATTTATAAATGTACCTATGGCTACGAGAATATCTTTCAGTTCACCTGAGTCATTAATTATAAGAATTCTATGTGATTAATGTTAACAAATAGATTGTATATTATCTATTTAAAATAACTGCTTTGGTTAGTTGAACAAATACACATGGTTTTTAATATTTGTAATTTTAGGCTTTATTGTCGGCAATGCTGGTCTTTATGTGACGCTTTTGCAATTCGTTATCGCATACTTAATTCTTTTGTTTACCGTTGCTTCAGTATGTGCAATCTCCACTAATGGTGCCGTGGAAGGAGGTGGCGTCTATTGTGAGTAATTGATTACTTTTACATATTACACTATTGCAGTTATGTTTTATCTCATTATCATTTAGTCATGATAAGTCGTACCTTAGGCCTAGAGTTTGGCGGCTCGATTGGTACGCTTTTCTTTCTTGCAAATATTGTTGGTTGTGCCATGGCTGTATCTGGTTGTACCGAGGGCATGATGGAAAACTTTGGCAATGGTGGTTATTTTACACAAGATAATGAGGGCTTATTACCTGATGGCACATGGTGGCGTTTTCTTTTTTCCACCATAATCAATACAGCAATATTGGTGGTGTGTTTGATTGGTGCGGCACTCTTTGCTAAGACATCGGTATTAATTTTGGGTATTGTGTCAATATGTTTGTTGGCCACATATATAAGTTTTCTGGCTGAAGGCCCAAAGGAAGTAAGTATGCATTTATCTACACATGCATTAATTTGATAAATTATATATCAGTTGATTTTTACTCTGTATATACATGTACTAATATTATTGTTTCTTTTTTTCAGATTGATCGCCCTAAAGAAAATAACATCTTTAATATGACGAAACTGCAATATACTGGTCTGGACAGAAAAACGTTAATGGACAACCTTTATCCACATTATGTACAAGATTACACCTCGAATGGTAAAATGGTCGATTTCGCCACAACATTTGGTGTCTTGTTTGCCGGTGTGACCGGTATCATGGCCGGGGCAAATATGTCGGGCGAATTGAAGAGTCCATCGAGAAGTATACCAACTGGCACCTTATCGGCTGTGTCTTTTACATTCGTTTCTTACATTTTACTGGCATGCCTGATGGCATTTACTACACCAGCCGTAACCATGCAAAATAACTATCTCTTCCTTATGCCGGTAAACTTTTGGCCACCCTTTACAGCCATTGGTATACTTACAGCTACATTTTCAACCGGTCTAAGTGGTCTAATTGGTTCAAGTCGTATATTGGAAGCTCTTTCAAAGGATCAAGTATTTGGTTCACTTTTAAATTTCGTATTACGAGGCACATGGAAGGGCAATCCTGTTGCGGCGGTGTGCACAAGCTGGTTGCTCGTAGAATGCATATTATTAATCGGTTCGTTGAATGCAATTGCACAGGTTAATTCTGTATTATTTATGCTTTCTTATTTGGCAACCAATTTGGCTTGCTTGGGCATCGAGTTGACTGGTGCACCAAATTTCCGTCCACTTTTTAAGTATTTCACGTGGCACACCTGCCTGATTGGTCTGCTTGGCACACTCATTATGATGTTTGTGATAAATCCAATATATGCGTCGTCCAGTATTATTCTGTGTTTAATTTTGGTGATAGCGCTGCACCTATTCTCGCCAGCTTCACAGGGTGCACAGTGGGGTTCCATTTCGCAAGCGCTCATGTTCCATCAGGTGAGTACAAAATGAGAAACAAAATTAATATACACATACATGTATTTGCTGAACAGGGTATGTTAAATTTGCCACAAAATTTGTAACACCAGTAGAAAACGTCGGAGACGTTAAAAATTATGTATATATAAATGATCAGCATGTCGATCTAGACATGTTCGTCTGTCTGTCCGCCTGTTTGTATATACGCGAACTGGTTCCTCAGTTTTTGTGATATCGATCTGAAATGTAACACACGTCCTTTTCTCCCCATGAAGCTGCTCATTTGTTGGAACCGCTCATATCGAACCACTATAGCATAGCTGTCATACAGACTGATCTATCTAATCAAGTCCTTGTACAGAAAACTTTTGTATTTGACGAGATATCTTCAGGAAATTTAAGGTGAACTATTGTCCAGAGTGAAATTTTATTCGAAAATTTTTTTAAGATCGGACCACTGTAACATCGATCAAAAACCAATCTGTGTATGAAAAACTTTTTCGTTCACGAGATATCTTCATGAAATTTGGCGTGGATTATTATCAATTGTTGTTGAATCAAGTTCTTGTATGCAATCTTTTGTATTAGTGAAGGGTGTTATAACTTCGCTGCAAACAAAGTTAACATTTTTTCTTGTTTTATTATAAAATTATTTCGTTTCTAGGTACGCAAGTACTTGCTAATGTTAGATTCACGTAAGGATCATGTCAAATTTTGGCGCCCTCAAATGCTATTGCTAGTATCATCGCCCCGTTCATGTTGTCCTCTTGTCGATTTTGTTAATGACATGAAAAAAGGTGGTCTCTACGTAATTGGACATGTAAAAGTTGGTGACTATACAGCCGTTGAAGATCCAACGATCGAAGAAAATAAATATTGGCTTTCCTTTGTTGATCATATGAAAGTAAAGGCGTTTGCTGAAGTTACATTAGCCAAATCCATACGTGAAGGTGTACAACATCTAATACGTTTATCTGGTATAGGTGCAATGAAACCCAATACAATAATCTTAGGTTTCTATGACAATGAAACGCCGAGGGATTTCTTCGAGGCGTAAGTTCTATACTTTATTATATTGCAATTAATTTAATATTTTTTATGCTTTTATAGTGGCACTTCGCCGTATAAAACGGAGGGATTTAATCATGGTGAAATTCAAAACTTTCCAATACGTCGTGATGGCGAAGAGAAACATATTGATGTCGCCGAATACGTTGCGATTATGAGCGATGTGCTGCGTATGAAAAAAAATCTATGCTTATGTCGACACTTTCATCGTTTGGACAAAAACTTTATTGCCAAGTAAGAATGTGATTAAATATGCAGTTCACTGTAAATTTAGCTGTCATGCAAATCGATATGTTTTATTTAATAGGAGCAAACATTTAAGATATATAGACGTTTGGCCAATCAACGTTTTTAATCCAAATTCAAATAATCCTTTCGATGTGGTCTCACTATTCATGATGCAATTAGCCGTGATAATAAATATGCTCGCCAAGTGGAAACATTTACGTTTGCGTGTTTTTCTATGCGAATCAAATAATGAAAATTCGAATATAAGGTATGCAAATTTACTTTGTGACGTCTTTCTTGTATATATTTTCAGATAACATGTCACAATTTTTATCCATTAGTTCTTTTGACACACAAATGCCACAGTTGGATAATTTCGCCAGAATGAAACTCGAACAATCACTGAAGAGTTTACGTATTGAAGCGGATATAATTGAGGTAATTAGGTGTAGCAAGCAAAATCATATGTCATTAGATAACTGACGTTTATTTAACTATTTCAGATTCAAGAATGGAACAGCGATTCGGACTTTACAAGCCATTCACGTATACTAAAGCAATTCACAAGTCATGCCGACGAAGACCTTGAAGTTATTACTGAGGAAAATATCAATCGCTCACTGCTATATATGCAAAGGTGAGTTCTTTTATTTATACATTTCTTCATTAGCATAAATAGTTATATACAGTGTACGAAAATGCAAATGTGAATTTCATGATTTTCTTAACAAAAAAAAAAAAAACACGAAAAACTTACTATATGAATACATATGTATATGTATGGTGATATCTATATAATAATGGTGCGGTTAGTTTAGTCAAACGCGGAAATATTTTTATTCTTTTATTCTTTTCAGAGCCAATCAAATAATACGCGAGCGTTCCGATCAGACTGCTGTTTCTTTTATATATTTGGCTGCACCACCACAAATTGGCACACCTGACTTTAAAGAGCGCAGTGCTCGTTATATTGAGTTACTTACAGAGTTGACTGCCGAATTACCACCGACTATTCTGGTGCATGGCATAAGCACAGTTACGTCGACCACACTTTAAATTTATAAATATCCGACGGTATGTGTGTGTGTGTGTGGCGCACTTAAATACTGCTACGTCAATGGTCGCAACAACTGGCGAATGAATCTACATACATTTTTAAAATTTTTGATCCTTTTGTTTATATGTGATTTGCCACAGTTCAAAATTTTAACTTATAATATGAACAATTTTACACATATTTTGAGTAATACGTTGTTAACTATCTGTTTTGTTGGCGTAATTAAATAGTCAACAACATTTGAATGAACAATTACATTATTATTATATGTATTTTCAGAATACTATAGTATTTCAATATAATAATGTCAGGCGTACTATTTTTTATAGACGAAGAAAAGTAAACAATTTTGGGTAAATAGACAACAACGGATTTTTTTTTTATCAAGTTAACAACATTTATATTTTATCAAAATTAAACGTCTAAACCGCGAAAGAAAATTGTTTCAATTTAATCATTTTATAGTAGTGACAAAATATGCTTGTCAGAAGTTCCGTTATGTTCTTATAAGATAGCTGCATATCAGTGTATTTCAAAAACCAAACCATATACATATGAATAACTATACAGAGTATAAAAACATTATATTAGAGTTGCCCTTGTTTATAAGTTTTAATTATTATTATTTAACAATTAGTGAAAGATAATTGTCAAAAGGCAAACTTTTTTTAAATGCATTCATTATTCGAAATAATGTCAGACATATTGCGCGAAGCTTTTAGAGTAATTATTAAATGCATTTTTACAATTTGTGTAATTTTTGCATTCCATTGGAAATTTAATTTTCTTTTTTAAATAATGTTATAAATTGAGAAGAACACTTGAACTCTCGAGACGCCTATAAAACAATATTGCTACCTACTATAACTTTTCCAGCATGAATTGAACAGTTTAATTAATTTTGTTGTAAACATGAACTTTCATTTGTATAAGGACATTTTGAGTAGGTATTATATATGCTTTAAAAAAGGATGTACGTAATTTCTCCATGACATCTATACTAACTATAACTCAAAGAGTTGTGTTGCAATATACTCAAATGTATTTGTGCCCTCAATTTTTATTATCTAAAACATTTCTCAAATAATTATACCTAACACCAAAATCTACAAATAACATTACCTTAAGCTAAAATGTAACTAAATTGCATCTACATATGTATATTTAGACGTATGAACAATTATATTTAATTAAATGTGATTATATTAACATATGCAAACTGTTTAAGGCTATAAACCATATTTTATTATTATTTTTTATTAATAAAAAAACAGCTATTTTCGTTTATATAAAACACATTTTTAGAAGACGTACATACATACATATAAAATATATATACATACCTAACACGTTTTGCGTATTATAATAAAAATATACAAATATATAAAATGCGAGTCATATATTCGCTTTAAATGAGTATTTGTGAGCAAATGTTTTTAACAAAAAAAAAAAAAAAAAAAAAAAATCTAAATAAAAATAATGATTTTATTATACAAAGATTCAAGTAATATTTTTGTATAATTTATAAACTGTCAAAAGACACTTTCTATCAGGTAGTGTGCATCTAACTGCACCTATCGATTGAAACCTTATTAGAACACCGAATAACAGAACTTTACTATGAAAATGCCTGGCCTTTACCGATAACACAGACCTAAATATATGCAACTATGTGCAACCAGTTTACGTTTCCGTGATTATTGTCTTTGGAGTTAAAGCGCCACCTAATGCAAACGAAGAGCTTAAGTTGCACGAAGAAACCTGCGTAATCGAGATTTTATCCGGATATACCAACCAAATATATACGGCAAAGTTTTTGAAGAAAAAATTGAATACTTTTCATTACTGCTGCAGTAATGCCGGCCAACTCCGATCGATAGAAACCTAAAGAATTCTCGTTAAATTAGATGTTCAATTGTCCTACGGTCCAAAAAAAAAACCAAAAATCGTTTTTAAAAAAGTTGAGTTTTAGTAAAATTTTTACGATTTTTGATCAGATCAAAAAACTGGCCGGTCTTTATATAGAGAATATACAGAACATGCAAAAAAAATTTGGTAGTGATTGGATCAGTTGTCTCCGATTAATCACGCAAGCAAATTCGAAAAATGTTGTTTCGAGATAGAGCGTTTAAAGATAAAGTGATTAAACTGTAATAGCTAAACGGTTACATTTTAGAAAGCGGTAACTCAAAAACTATTCGAGATATCGTTTTAAATTTTAGTATGCTATTTTTAAAGGTGTAACTTATCGAAATGTGAAAAAAATTAATTTTTGTAAAATTTCACACTAGGTGTGCGCCCTAAAGCTTGGGTTACCCTTCTTTCACGCCTTTCTTTAAACAGGCGCTTATGTATTCTCAGAGACAACAGTTCCCAACTGGTATTTGTTTAATGTACACAACGTGTTGGGTTGCGTCGCGAAAAGCGTGTGCTTTTATTATTCGGGTTTACAATCTCAAGAAAAATAATTATTTTTTTTTCGACAAGCGTGGTAATGTGTTACCTTTGATTTATATGTGGATCATCTTACTTTATTCTGCAATGCAGGATTGGACGCTTTCTTACGAATTGTTTTTATAATATAATATTAAAACAAAGTTGTTTATTTAGACATTCTTGTGTTTCGCCATTTGAAATTGGTTTAACTGAAGTGCTCGCTGAGTGCGATGTAGATAAATGCTCCATAAATATTTACTGTAGCTTACATCCTTTTAACACGTTCTCTTTTACGTCGATTAAACGCTTATTAAGATAAGGCGAAAGTCATAAATGTCAACGATCGGACCATATCTCTTTGTCCTGATTCAACAATAATTCACATAAGTGTGTGTGAGTGTGTACTACTGCATTGTATTGCTTGTACATTTGGGCAAGTAAACACAAACAGACGGAGTAATTATGATACGCATCGGTTACTGAGCGCTACCTTTTCCGAGTTCGAAATTTATGTAAGCACGTGTGTTTACCTGTAAAAGCAGATCAATGCCAACAACAAATGTTTGCATCGTCCTTCTGTATGTTTGTTCAGCGGATTGTGCTTGCCGCTCTTGATCCTTCTTATTACGAAAGTGTCAATAAATTCACGTAAATGTGACAATTAGGTGCCATAATGAGTTTATCTCAACAATGACATTAGGCGACAGTTATATACCTATTGATTGGAAAGAGGCACCTAACGGATGTGATATAAATTGTTGTTGTTGTTATTGCTACCATAACTGGCATAGTTTTGATTTTGGAGTGCGCTAAAATATTTATACTGTCTTGTGTTGTAAAAAGGACGAACTGTTGTGTTGTTGGAGTTTGATAAGTGACTTTTAGTTGGAAGTTATCTAAGTAATCGTATCAAGTAGAGGGACGAATTCTTGGAAAGTGTGCTCGCATTAACGGGTGTCTTGGTTCGAATAATTTTAAGTATAATTGAATTAAAAACGGTTATTTGCTACCGCTTAATTTTCAGTCACAATATGAAAATACGGTTTTGGCAAATATACGCTATAGTGGTTCGAGCTGAACTATTTTTCGGAGATTGTAGCGTTGTCTTGGACAATAATCCATGCCAAATTTCAAGAAGATATGTATCTCTTCAAATAAAAATGTATCCTATATAAAAACCTGAATATGATCGATGGGTTTGTATGATGGCTATGTGCTAGTGATCCGATATCGTCGGTTCCGACAAATGAGCAGTTTCTTGGGGAGAAATAAACTTTTGCAAAATTTCAGATCGATATCTCAAAAACTGAGGGACTAGTTCGCGTATATACAGACGGACAGACAGACGGGCATGGCTAAATCGACTGTTCTTTTGGGTGCTACAAACTTGGTGGTAAACTTAATATGCCCTGTTCACTTGCAGAACCAGTTTATGACTGAAATACACTGTTAAACTTGCCACTGTGTGCCACCTAATCAAAAATGTTTTTTCAAGACCCTCGTCACCTATATACATTAAGACCAGAAAGTTTCCGGAAATTGTAAGTAAAACGAAACATTTTTAATCTCCATCAATATTTATTTTGTCGCCTTCAAAATATGCTCCTTCTGAAGTGATACAGATATACCCCCTATTTTTCCAATTCAAACATGTCCTTGTAGGCGCTGTCCGGGATCGCCTTCAATTCCCTCTGCGAATTTTCTTTTACGGGTTCCATGTAACTGGAAACTTGAGTTTTGGAAACAAAAAAAGTCACATGGGCCAAATCCGGTGAATACGATGGTTGATCGATGGTATTGAACGAGTTTTTGGTCTTAAAATCGTTCACAATTACAGCTCGGTGCGATGGCGCATTATCGACATCGACCGTTTAAGACGGATGTTTTCGCGCAAACGTCTCAAAACGCACAAACAATACTCTTTATTGACCGTCTGTCCCGTTGAAACGAATTCATGATAAACCAAACCTCGAATATCGAAAAAAAAATTTCGCGGAAACTTTCTGGTCTTAATGTATGTACATATGGTATGTATATAGTCCAAAGTATACTTTTTTAGTACTAATTATTCCTGTTATTTTTTTCGTGTCAATATTAGTATCTAATCATGAAATATGGCTTAAGAAATTTTGATTACGCCAAAAGATTTATTTAACTTAATTTACGACGTGCCGTGAACTCTAAAAATATTCGAAGATATGACTTACCTACAAAATATGAAAACCTATACGTATGAAGCCAGAAATAAAAATGCTGAAAGTACAAGAAGTGATATTTTGCGTGTTCTGCATTCACCATCAATCCTTGCTCACATCCTTACAAACGGTTTTTTGTGTGCTTACGGTCTACAAATCAATCTATGTATGACGGATATAACACGAAACGTACCTGTATGCTGATCTTAGCTCTTCCCTATTTTTTATCATGCTGCTAATGCGCTTTGTTTGTCACTTTACCGTTATACAAAACTTTGATTTCCGACTACGATCAAAACATTTTCTTATAGCGATCGGTAGGCAAAATATCCGAGCGAATACCTGCCACTAAATCAAACTCTTTCTTTAGTGTTTAAAACTGGAGGCCGTCTTTTTTTTCATTTGTCGTATAACATCAAGTCTTATATGGTGTAATGGGCTATATAAACTTCACGGATATCTCGAAGAGTTATAATTATTATATCATATATAAGTTCTAAATATCCTTATACGTATGTGATATACATATATATGGTACATGTATAGTATATATACGCCCTCGCCGATCACTTCAAACCAATTGCACCGTCTTTTCAATATAAATTGAAATAAGTAGACCAGAACTAAAATTAACAAATGATGCCATGTTTCACACGGTTTTAGATGACAATAGAATGTGCCTTTGTAGGTGCACGCAGACGCAATAACAATAACAAAAAGATAAAGCCAAGTAGAATACAACTCGGTTTTGATCCTTGATCGATTGCAGATGTCAAAAATGCCACGCGACCGCAAGCGCTTTGCTAGGGATCTGAATGCCGATTGATTTCATTAAATTAATACCCGCGTTTGTGCGCATGTGTGGCGATTGTGCAACACTTGTGCGAAAAATTCCCTTGAAATTCGGCTACAAAAGTGTGATTGAGGTTGAAAATATGTGAAAAGTAAGCAAATATATTGTATATGTATAGGTATGTACTTGTGGGTAGGTGTGAGCGACTGTCAGTTGAGTGGCTCACATCAAAGACTTGCCTACAACTAATTATAGGGTTTACCCAAGATCGCCGACACACCTACGCCTCTCTCGATTTCCGAAGGCTCACACTTGTATGTGTGTGTGAGTTTGCGATGTTGTTGTTAGTCAGTGAAGAAAGTGTTTGTTGCAGTAGTCTTTTTGTTTTTCGCATGCGTGTTACACAGCTGATTATGTGAAAAATCTCCTATGTCACAATAGCAACAATGGTCAGTCAATCAGGCTGGTTGGTTAGTGAAGTAATGTTGGCATGACCAAATGTGCCCTTGCCTCCTTGAGGGCGGTAGCTGAGTGCAAAGCAATTCGTGTGTCCTACAAAAGAAACTTCAATTGCTTACGAGTTTCTCGATTATAATCCTCTGTTGGCTGAGTGCAATTTACTTTTGTTTGGCGTTGAATTATCCAATGCAAAATCACGTAAGTTTTTTTTAGTTTAAACAATGGAATGACTTAGTTTTTGACACTCATTGTCTTATTTCTGCGTACTTGTTGTGGCTGATATTTTTCACAGAATTGCTTACTCGATTTTGGTTTTGAGTTTAGCCCTTTTAAATCCATGGATATTGCTGTTAAGCTAATTTGCTATGTAATTCCATCATTGCCATTATTTGCAATTATTATGAAAACATACACTTTTGTTTTGTGTCCCGCAAATTTGCACTAACAGGTGTAGTATTTTTATGCATGCAGACTTTGTAGACATTCTGTCTAGGATTTTGCACATTTGTGTAATTTTATTTTGATGCTACACCACACAGCATATACATATATACATACATATATGTATACCAGGAAATTTCTAGAGAAAAAATTAAAAACCTGAAGACTTTGATATACCGAAAGATTGGGAGTCGAATATTTTTAGGGCTGTTTGGACGAGCGTCTGTTTTGATGCCGCGGATAACACCTTTGAGTGGACCCAAAAAGCTACTAAATTAAAAATATAAATATATTATTTTTTCAATATAATATTTTAGGAATCTGTATCTCGTTTGTATAAGTGCTATCGGAAAGATGGGCACAAGCAAAGAGAAAATACGCCATATTAACAGACTTCCTTCGATTAAGACGAAAACGTAAGCCAGATCGCTACAAATGTTATTAGTGTTTGTTTTAGTTTCGTTAATTCCGATTCCGTCGTTGATGGAAAAAGGTGCATCAACCAAAGAAAGCCGCGTAAGTGTCGATAAAATAACGGAAAACGTCTGACCGCCCTGTAAGCACTGGTTCGAATGCCTCGCAGGTAAACATTGCACAACAACCGTTTGGAACCAATTATATAATGCTGGATAGAAAGGAAGCTCGATATATGGGTGCCAAGGAATTAAAGCAAAAAAGACCTCATGAATTGAATTTCTATCTGACAATCCCTACTGAATCGCAACTATATTTATTAATTTCTGAAGCGGATGGTTATGAAAAGTGACTCACTTACGAAGAAGGTCCTGATCAAGCCAGGTTCAAAAATACCTATCCCATAAATATAACTACAGAAATGTTTGATTACTCTCATCAAAAAAGGTTCAAATCGAACTGCAACTTCTCTAGCCCTAGTCTATGACGGACATTAAACCGAAAATAACGATGAATTTGCGAGAAATCTTGGGAACACAATTCGGCATCTTTTATCAATAAACTGGAATACCTAATACAATGCTTGTATCTTAAAATCTGGTTGAATTTGGGGATATAATGCACCACGATATGATTTAGCGTCAAAAAGTGATAAATTCGGGTCAGACTTTAGTCTATTATCCATATTTCTAATATAATGATATTTCACCCAGCCGTTGACTTCATAGCTTATGTACTCAAATAATCCCCAGACAAACTTTTAGCGTCGTAAACAAACAGCTGCCAAACACACACTAATTAGCAGACATAATTTGTTTTATTGTCAAAATGTTAAGAAATCGGTAGACGAAGAATAAATTTCGTACCTTTTAAGGCAAGATTAAAATTAATAGATATAATAGGGTTTGTACTTAATAGCTTGACTAGGTCGGACGCCATGAAAGCATGAATATTAAGCTACATCATTGTCCTGACGATTTACCGCGATCGAGCTTCTGCTATGGCGAGAATTAGCTCGGTCAAAAGTTGCAAGGTCATTTAAGAATAAGAACAGTTATTAGAAAAGAATATGTAAAGTTTTTATATGAAACTTCTTTTTATTTTAGAATTTGGCTATGACACGATCAACCGGCTCGTTGTCCATACATCTTTATTTATATTTTATTTATATACTTTTTCATTTATATGTATATCTAAACCAGGATTTTGGCTCACCAGTATTCATACAACTTTTAGTGCACAGAAATTTTTTTTAGAGGCTTCCTATGTGATTTCCCTTCTCCCAGTAATATTGACCCGTTGACCTTGTGTATTGCTCTCATGTGAATATGGGCATAAACCTTTGAGAATATGAGGTAAGTATGTACAAAGCAAATGTTTGACATTTAAAATGCTCCACATAATACGATTTTGACACTATAATTTGCAAATACAAAAGCCACAAAAATTCAAAAGAAATTGAAAGTTTGAGGTCCTACTCGAAATTTACACGTACACGTACATGCACAGATGCATCTGTATTTACATACAGACCTATAAATATATACTTTCGGCGGCCGCAAATTAGCTACTGGCCAAGAAATCGAAATGATCGACACAATTGCGAAGCGGTAGCACTTAAAGTCCTATATCAATTTGTAAGCAACATATATGGTATTACAAAGGAGTCAGCAACAATGGATTTGCGTAAACGCCATTACAACAATAATAGCATAGGTGTACAAAAAATTTCTTTGGTTACAATGAAATAATTAAACGTTTTGACCGCAAGCCAATTTGGGCCAGTGTCTGCAACAACAATTGCATTATCCAAGAACGAGAGCTGAAGAAGCGGTCATTGAGGTGTTCGGCAATTGCGGCGGAAAAGAGAAAAGGTCAAAAAGCGAGTACAGCAACGAATCAAAAGTAGGCATGCGTAGCAGAGATGCGCGATCAGGTGAGTGCAGGTATGCAAGGAAAATTTGAGTATCAGCCAATCGGAATGTTGCTGTTTCACGCATACTTACGCTTGCGGTATCGTCAAGGCTGGCTTATATAAATTACAGGCACAAGTGCTGAGCACCACACAGTTTTAATCTGACACTGAAGTGGAGCACTAGTACACGAAATTCAGGAAAATGCTAGCTGGTGAATATTGTGACAGCGATCTTTCGTTTTACTCCTCAATGCGGCGATTGCAATCGAGTGAATCGGTGGAAAGTGATAACTACTCGAAAATGCTAAGTGATAATTTAGAAGAGCTTACGGCTTTGTACAGTATGGAATTCAGCAGCAGTAGCAACAGTCCATCAACGTCGTCGTTGTCGTTAGAAAGCCAACCGGAAATTAAAGGCTTCCAAGCAGATGAAAATTTCGTGAATAACTTTGATTTTGGCTATACAGTTGAAAGCACACGACAAGTCACCTGCATTAGCGCAAATCCTAAAAGGTGGTCTTCACTATGTGATCAACAATTTTACACCAGCGATTCCTGCAAAACTTCAACTGTCGAAAGGTCGAAAAATATTAAAGCTCATTATAGATCGACGCATAGAATTGGTTCACTGAAGGCTGCGTCACCCTCTCAGCATCATTTCAATATTAACTGCAGCTTTTCCACCAGTTCTAGTGACTGTGGTCCACAGGATGTTATTAAAAAACGACGACTTGCCGCCAATGCGCGTGAACGTCGACGCATGAATAGCTTGAACGATGCTTTCGATAAACTCCGAGACGTTGTACCATCGCTGGGAAATGATCGTCGGCTCTCGAAATACGAAACATTGCAAATGGCCCAAGCCTATATTGGTGATTTGCTTAAGTTGCTGACGCGCGATTATTAAAGTTAGTTTATTAAGATAAATTATTTTAGCTGCTATCGTTTTACTTAAATTATATTTAAGATTAGTTAGTATGTTATTTGTTTTTGTATTGGATAATGTTCTTAAAGTGGACTTTCACATAAAATCTTCATTAAAATTAATTTATTGGAAGACATTTTTGTTTAGAGGTTGCTTGAAATATTGGTTTTGTATTGGAATCCTTTTTACGTAGTAATTAAATATATTGTTTTGAGTAAGAAAAATATTCAGTGAGGATATTTATATCCTAAAAAATAGCAATGGTCTCTGCAAACAGCAATCAAGAAAAGTGAAGAGAGAAAGTCACCTAAGCAAGGTCAGGCACGGTGCCTGCTTTTCTTATATAGAGCCAGCTGGCAGCTAGCTTCCCCTGAAGTCACCTTGTGACTTCCAAATCAAATCACATCGCGGTGTGAGAGTTGCCTAAACACTGGCCAGGTACGGTGCCTGCTTTTCTTATATAGAGCCAGCTGGCAGTCAGCTTCCCCTTGTGAGTTTCGAATCAAATCCCATCGCGGCGTAAGAGTCATCTGAGCACTGGCCATCGGGCCTGCTTTTCATATATAGGTCAGCTGTCAATTGCTCAACAACTCAACTCAACAGCTGTTGTTCAGTTCGGACTACTACAGCGTATAGCCGCCATACAAATTGATCGATCCGAATCGAGTTTGGGGAAACTTTTTTATTTGAAAAGATATTTTCATGAAATTTGGTGCAGAATATTGTCAAAGACAAAGCTACAATCTCTGAACACATTCAAAATCTAGATAGAGATCATTTTATACCCCTTTTATACCGGTCGGAAACAATGTTTTATTAAAACACTACATACACTTTTTCCCATTTTAAACAAAAGTGGCAAAGACAGCGTCTCTTTGATACCAAAAATATTAGGATGATTTACTGAAATATCGTGAAATTTCGACCGCATTTTAGTTGAAGTTAGTACCCTCAGACATGGATAAAAATATATTTTGGCGGCGACCTCTGGGCAGTCCAAAGACTTTCCGGTTCAGGTAGTAGAGTCCAGTCGTTTAGTATATTCATATTTAAAGCTAGCGAAAGTAATTTAAGACTCGGATAATAATCCACGTCCAATAAAAAAGTTCTTCATACAAGGCCATGGCTTTTATTGTTCAGTTTGTATGGCAGCTACATATATGCTATAGGTGACCGACGAATGGGCCGCTTCTTTGGGACCGATAGGCGTTTTCGGTGCGGTACGAAAATCACTGATCTTTCAAATAATTTAACTTTAAAAAATTCCATTAGCAAGGACATTACAATCTTTTTCTTACATAAATACGTACATACATATATGCACTTAAAAAATTACTCACCACTGCTCTTGCCGCACACGGATATACAAGTATGTACGCTCCAGTTAGACTAATTTTCACGGTAAAAAATCAAAAAGCGGTTGTATGTATGTATATGTGTGCCACAAGGATATTATAGATTTAGCAAGTGTCTTCTTACTCCGCTGTTTCAAAAGACGTTTGAGTGCGGGGGCGTAAACGCTGTGGCAGAAATCAAAATAGCATCCATATTCCTGTAAACTCGGGTCAGGCTGCGGAAAATATCTAAAAAGAAAAGATATGAAAACACGAATAAATTGATAAGTAGCAAGTTCCGACTTCCGATGCGCGTAATGTAACAAATTAGTAAGTACATGCGGCAAGACAGAAAGGCATCATAGCTCCAGCTTTGTTTTTTCCGCAATACTTGTTAGTTAAGTGTATATATGCATATATACGCACATACCAACATGTTTAGATATAACGCAGTAAGAACAATATACATACACACATACTTGTATTTGCGTTGGCTCTTGTGGGCGTTCTTGAAGGACATGAAAATTGATTCTAAACCACAGCTAACCTGGAATGATGATGTAGGCGGTTTTGTTGTCGTAGATAAATAGAGCGAAGCAAATATGTAGTAAGGGCTACTCAACATACATATATAAATGGATATATATGTCTGTATATGTGAACATTAGTTAGAGGTATGTATAATAAGTACACATCGTCACCTAAAATGCAAAACTTCGTATCGTCAAACATATACAAAATTGAGTTTTTTGTTGATTCCGATTTACTACATCATACACAATTTTAAGTTTCTGCTGTCATATATAAACATTTTATAGCAAACATTTAATTTTTTTTTAATTTGTTTCTATTTTACATAATTTTTTTCCTGTTCTGTACAAAAATGAAAAGTGATGTTACGTTATTGCACATTTTAGTTGACGATTTCTAGTTGTATAGTTTTAGTATCACAATGTTTTCTATTTTCAAGTTAATTTTCGTTACAGTTGTTTTTTGTACATTTGGTCATACAAAATAAAGCACACATCCATACATATGTAAATAATACTTAAATAAAAAAGCATACATCAGACTACTATTATTTTTGCAGTAAGTTTTTTCTTATAAATATTTAAATTGGTTTTTGTTGTACTTATTATAAGTTACACTACAAATATTTTTTGCATATATTTCTAGGTTTTTTATAACACTATTGTAAGTTACTTTTTACTATTTACAAACATATATTTACAATATTTGATACATGTTTTTGTTTCATGAAAAATATAATATTTTAATACTATTGCATAAGTTTTTACGATATTCGGTACATATTCTTTTTTATTTATATTAAATCAAACATTTTGAATGTAAAAAATCAATTTTCACTTAAAAATTAAGTATGTTTCATTTTATGGCTTCTTTATATAACTAAAAAGTCGATAAAACATTTTTACTTCAAATAAATTAGGTATATTGATTTACCGAGACAATTTTTTTTATTAATTATTTTAATTGCAAATATAAATGCATTTGAATCTCCTAAGAGTGGAAAGCATTAAAAAATTTAAATATAAAAAATTATATTTTATAATTTTAGTAAATTCTTTAAATCAGGCACATTCAAAAATTTTTATTCTAAGTAAAAAAAAAAAATAAACAACAAAAATGTAGTAAAATGCAGTCAAAGTCCGTATTTTTTTGTCTGCCAAACTTATAACTGTTGAAAATTTTAATTTAGAATAAAGTTACATATATATAATTTGCCTGTCTTTATATTATTCGTGTTTGAACTATAACAATAACAATTTACGGAGTTACTTATCATGCTAATAAAACAACAAAGTTTTTTTTTTAAATAAATAAGTCTTTATGAATAGTGTTGAACCTTTTATTTTCATATAAAAGTAAAAGTTAATTTTAATTAATGACATTAGTAAACAACGAATACAAAAAAAATTTAAAAAATAAAAAACAATAAAAAAAAATATTAAAATAAATTAAAAAATAAGACAAAAGGAAAATAATTAAAAAAACGAAAAAAAATAAAAAAGGGAAAAAAAAGAAAAAAGTCTTTATAAATAGTAGTATTTTCTTTTCGTATAAAACTAATAGTTAATTTTAATTAACTACACATAAGTAATCAACAAATAAAATAATTAAAAAAAAAATTAAAAATTATTAAAAAAAAACAATAAAAATAAAATTAAAATTAAAAAATAAATTTAAAAAAAATTAAAAAACTGGACAAAAGGAAAATAATTAAAAAAGAAAAGTCGTTATAAATTTCATATAAAACTAATAGTTAATTATAATTTATTCAAAAATAATATAAAAAAAATAAAAATAACAAAAAAATTAAAGTTTAAAAAATAAAATAAGTTCAAAAAGAAGACAAAAGGAAAAAAATAAGCGAAAAAAATTAAAAAAGGAAGAGAAATTAAAAAGACAACAAAAATAAAAAAGAAAAAAATAATAAAAAAAGACAACAAATACAAAAAAAAAACCAATTAGAAAAAAAACAATTCAAAAGACAAAGCGAAAATAATTTAAAAACGAAAAAAATTAAAAAGGAAACAAAAATTAAAAATGAAAAAACTAATAAAAAAAAGAACAAAAAAAGCCAATAAAAATAAACAAATAAAAAATAAATAAAACTAAACAAATAAAAAATAAAAATAAACAAATAAACATTAACAAATAAAAAATAAAAATAAACAAATAAAAAATAAAAAATAAAAATAAACAAATAAAAAAAAAAATAAAAATAAAAAAAAAATAAATAAATAAAAATAAAATAAATAAATAAAAATAAACAAATAAAAAGAAAAAAAATAGATAATATTTTTAAAAGTAAGCTGGGCGACATTAGCTAGACTAGACGTTATATTTATTAAAAGTGTAAATGATTTGTCGTTATAATAAAATAGTAATAATTAAAGAGAGATGCGAGATCAGCGAAATGTAAAAAATGTGTAAAAAAAAAAAAAAAACAAAATCTAACTAAAACATTTGCTTCCAGATATTGATCTCAAACTATACCAAATTAGTTTGTGGCGATTTTTGGGTTAAATTTATTTCTAATGATTAATTTTTCTTCAGCTACCTCAAAAAAATACTCTTCAAATGTTGAAGCTGTTGGTTGCAAAGATGATTAAAATGTTATAAACATATGCAATGAATCTTTTACAATTATACGCCAATTATCAATTTTATTTTTTTAATCAATTTTTTTTTTTAAATTTCAAAAATTCTTTGAAAAATTTAATCTTCCTTGCAAAATATCAGTCTTTGTATCAGTTTTTTTTTTTAAATTGCGTAGAGAAGAATTTACGCAAAAACAAAATTAAAATTCAACTATATGTATAATTTATAGGTATGTAGCCTTTTTGCCTGTCAAAATAATGTACTCTAAAATATAAAATTAGACAAGTTTTAATTAACTTTTTTTTTCAAAATTAAAAAAAAATATTTTTTTTTTGCAAGAAATTGTTTTAAGCAAATCATTATAATTAATATATTATTTGACAGAACAAACGCTCTTCCCAGCTGACTGTCTGCAAGTAGATTTCCATCCAGACAACAAGAATCAGCATACACTAATAAAGTTAATTTTTGAAAATAAGTTGATATCCGAGGCCTTTTCAATATGCTGTTGAATTTTATCGCCTTTTCTCCCTGTGCTTTGTAAATCTAATTTTTTATTGCCCTTTAAGCAATTCATTTTGCTGTAATGAACGTTGTCTGTCACCATGTCGTGCTAATAAAGTCAGACTATTGGTTAAATCCCACAGTTTTGCTTACATATACATATATAGTATAAACATATACACGAAGTAACATGTTCGTTGTTGGAGTAACGAAGATTCAACCATTTGCTGTAGTAAGTGTGCTCAGTTAGATTTTCCATAGCTTTGTTTATGCTTTCATTTGAATAAATGCAACGCCTTAAAGTAATGCAAACACTTTATTGTTAAATTTTATTTGATAAACATTTATAGTAATTGCTAACTCTATGTACTTGTGGATTGTTGTAGGGGTAGGCGAGGTCATCGAAAATTTTTTAAAAGAAAAATGTGTGTTTGTAATGGAATTCAAAAGCTAGGTTTCTGTTGTGTGCAATATGTGTACTTATGTATCATTCATAGAACAATTTATTTTTAAGCAATTTTTTTTAGCAAATTTCGTTTTTTTAAAGATTAACTGTTCTATTTCGAGTAAAACTTCAGCTTTTTCTCTTTGATTAAATTTCATATGGGATAAGAGTATATGGTATGTTACGTAACTCATATTATTTCAATTAATTGAGAAATTTACCACACTTAAGTTAACCTAGTTAACGGTTAAACAATAAACTAAACATTATAGTTATTTTGATTTCTTTACCAGCAAAATGAAAAAGTTGTAAAGCTTTCGGCGCAGTCACACATCGAATATGTTAGTTAAAGCGAAGCACAGTTGGTTCGTGGCCATCTGTATCAAAAAACATGAAATTTTTTTAACTTCTCCAACTATTTGCTGGTAAAAAGATTCTGCTTGCATATCGAATATCGTAAAATAATAACATAACACTAAGTTCAGACAGCATTAATTTCTAAGCAGTTAAAGATGCGTACATAAATGTATACAAAATATATATATATATATACATATATACGCACACATATGTTAATGAAGTTGTGCAAATATTAGAATTAAATAGTCATAAATATAGAAATTATATTTAGAATGTTTGACTGGACAAAAGTGCTTTAAAAATAATTTTTTTTTGTTTTTTTTTTTTTATAAAAATGCAACTTGATTTTTAATGTGCAACTTCTTAGTTTTTTCCAAATTATATATTTTTTAATCACAGTATTATCCAGTTAAACCGTTATAACTTCAAATAATCATGAACTCATATGCACAGTATATTTTATGTCCTTACTAAAATTTTTCATTAAACGCAAAATGAAATATCTAAAATGTTTCAGTTTTGTTTCAAATTTCATATAGAATTTAAGTTATGTACAAGAATGATATAACTCGCTTTTGCATCGCTTTACATTGCAAATATTTATTTTAAAGTGTCACATCATAATTAAATCCACGTTGGATTGCCGCGAAATTTACCACGAAATCCGCCACGCATACCACCACCCCCACCACCAACACCGCCGCCGCCGCCTCTGCCACCACGATTGTAATACGGGCTGCCGGCGTGTCCACCACGTGGTGGCCGTGGAAATCTGTCATTGCGAAATTGATTTTGTTGCGGCGAATTTCCCCAGCCTGGCGCACCGCCACCACGACCGCCGCGCATATTTGAATTCATCGGAAAATTATTAAAAGGTAATGGAAAGGGTGGGCGCGGAGGTGGCGGCACACCAGCACGCCCATTGTTATCGTTATGCCAGCTGTTTTGATTCCACATTTCCTGCTGTTGCATTTCCATATTCATGCCAATATTTTGTGGTTCGTAGCTGGGCATTGGCGCTTGACCCAACTGATTGTTGTTCCAGACAGGTTGCGGTATATATTCCGGCGGTGTTTCTAATAAAGCCGGTCTTGTGGCACCAGCCGCACCTAAGGATTCGTCGTCGATATGCTCTTTGGAAATATCGATTTGTAAGCCATCACCACTACCAATTGATTGCTGTGAACTATCAAGCTGATCACTTTGCTGCTCATTTACTTCTGTTGATGGTATAATAAATAAATTGTGTTACATTTGTAAGAGTTTTTGAAAGTACTATAAGTAAAGCAAACCTCTTAATATATCATCGAGATCTTCATCGGACATGTCCATATCGATCACCATATCGGAGGGATCATAGCGTGCACTTCCAGCATCTTCCTTGTCTGACGACGAGCCTGCAATAATACATAGGTAGAATTTAGAGTTGGCGTATTCATTTCGTTGTAAATACAAACTTACTGGCATTGCTTTTTTGTGGCGAACTCGTCTTCTTCTGCAGACTAGAAGGTGGTGGGGCCATTAACTGTAGATATTACAAATGAAAACAATATTATTTTTTTATACTTTTTAAGTAATTGGAAACTTAGCAAAATGTATAATTTAAACTTGTATCTCGCATTATTATTATTTGAATTATGAATGTACAATACGTACTCCATGCTTGGACGTTACATCAGTAGACTCCAAAGCCAACCCTGGCAAAGCACGATAGTCAACATCGCCGGATGTATTTTCCAGGAAATTCTACGAATGTAATAATTACCAATCGATATATCGATATTTTAAAATCATTTTTGTGTTGTTTGTTAAAATTAAAATTTTTTAAATTTACCGGATCCTGCGATAGCCAAGATTTTTTGTCGCCATCATTGCCACCTGGTGAGCCGGTTAGCGAAATCAAATTCCTATGATCTATATCCAACTGACGTGATTTCTCTGTAAGCCAAAAATAATTTGTATTATAAAAGGAACAGTGCCACAATTTTTTGTTACTACGCAACCATGACGTACCGGATTGACATCCGGCATAGTACGCTCACAACAAACAAGTTTCTAATGCTGTTTCAATAATTTAAAACAAATTATAAAATTAAAGAAACAAGCAACACAAAAAATATTTTTGCTAGAAGAAAAAAAATACCACCAACCTTTGCTCAGACCTAATTTTACACCCAAATCGGCACTAGGCACATCGAATGCTAATTGTCGATGATCAACATCTTGTTGCGATACCAAAAGATTGCTCGTGTGATGCTCGCTGTACTCGATGGTCGTGCCAGCTCCACTACTAGCTTCACGCTCAAAATGTGGCGGTGAAACAGGTGTATCTATGCTATCACGTGTATATGAAGAGTTTGATAAATTAGAATTGTCTACGGATGTCCACGACAAATTCATATTCCATGTTGAATTGAAATCATCACTGCCGTTATTAGATGTACGTGACACTCCACTGATGCCATTGCCACCGCTAACATTGTCTATAATATTTAAATTAGGCATTGGCGGCGGTGGCATTAGCGGTTGTCCACCTATAATAGTATTATTACTAACGGAACCACCCGCACCACCGCTTCTATGATAACCACTATCAGGCGTATAGCTTGAGTTGTAATCGTGATGTATCCCATTATTTCCACCAAAGAGTGTAGTCGCGGGTGGCGGTAATAAACCACCATATTGTTGAGCTGAGCGAGCGAGTGATGTGTAGCCCGATTCAACTGGAGGCACTGGCAGAGGATTTAAGCCTGGTATGGAAATGTTGGTGCTGCTGGAAAAAGCGGTTATTGGTTCAGGTTTATAATATTCCGTGCTGGAACTATAGCTCTCATCATCTGAACGAGAACCTATTACCTCAATTGGCTGACCTGAAGATGTATGAAAGAATTTTAGAACAAAACGAATATAATTGTATTATACATACTTGATTTGTTTGAATTGTCGTCTCGCTTAAAGTCATTTATGTCAAAGGGTAATTTCCCATCTAAATAGCTTGAATAACCATTGATTGAATTTTTAAATAAATTCTGAAAATATATTTAAATTGTTTAATATAGAAGAATGTTTAAAAGAAAATGCGTTCAAATTACAATTGAGATCGGTGTTTGGTCATCCGGTAGTTGTAGATCTGCGTCGGGTTCAGGTGACGGCGCATTTATGTCCGGCGATGGTATAGGGCTAGGCAAGTTGGGTGTGATTTCATCCAATTTCTTCTTCACAAGTTTTATGCGACTACCAAAGTTTTTATACGCCTAAGAAAACAAAACAAATAGCCAAATTAAAAATATGTTTTTTATATGTATATGTACAAAATATATATAATTTATAGTAAATACGGTTAGCACAATTTACACTTACGCTAACGACCACCTTTACTTCTCCACGTTGATTTGTATAGAATTTAATAGATGTATCGAGATTACTTAGCACCGCTTTGCGGCTACGAATTTCGGCTTGTAAGTGCTTACTATATGCTTCCGCGTAAGTTGTGTACCGTTCGATTTCTTTTTCAATATCGTCTGAATGGCTTTTGTCTTTTATTTGTTGTTTTATCAATTCGATATCACAATTAGGTGCTTTCGGTAATTTTTTAAAACTGTTATCTGTCGCCAAAGAAAGTTCGACACATTCGCGTATATTGGCTATAAGTGGGCCATTCTATTACAATAAGAAATAAATTTTTATTTGTATGTTAGGTATATTTAACTTTTCAAAAACAAACCGTATAATCATCTGAGGATTCTACAGTAACTGTTTGCGCTTTTTTCGGTGGATTTATATTCAATAAGCCGCTTAAATCGCTCAGATACTCTTCACTGTATATGTCTCGTTGTTCCCAAATGCTGAATATGCGTAGAACTTTGCCTTTTACCTTTTCATCTCTACAGGAAAGAGGGTATAGTTAGTTAAATTTATTAACTTTATATGTTTTATATACATATGTATGTGTACATACCTGACCATGGTCGTTGCTCTCTGTAAAGCGGTAGCCCAACTTTCAACAAACTCATATCGTTTCCGTTTACTATTTTGTATGACATCGTTAGCCAGATAGAATAAAGTAAGCCTGTGTTCCACACGTACTTTAATGAAATTAAGGAAAATGTACAAATACAAAATTGTGATATACATACGTGACCAGGAAATATGGTCTTTGAGCCATGTAATACTTTTTTAAAAAAATATGAGTGAATATTTCTAACAAGATTCTTAAATCATTGTTGTAACACGCTTATGTTACGTTTATTTGCCTCAAAACTTGGAATTGCTTTACATATCTGGCCGTTCACATTTCAAAATTTTGAGTCCATCAAACTCCCAAATCACATCAATTATATAAAAAATATAAGAAGCGTCAATTGTAAATTAAACAAACCTCTCTTAAACACATTCAACCAGCAGGATACAATCTTTTTGTGGTGATTACGTTGTTGTAGACACCAAGCTGACATTTGCTGTATGCCTTCCTGGGTATCCTTGAGTGCCTCCAGGCGTGTCTCGAAGAAGTCATCATCGAAAGTATCTGCACTCATTTTTAGGACATTGGTTTCTATCAACTAATATTTAGTATATGCAACTTTCAATCAACAGCAAATATATAACACAAAACTAATACAACAATTTACGCGCGTTTTCCAATTACTTCGCAATGCGTCTTTACTTATTTTCGCGTTATTGTTGACATTATTCTCGTTGATATTTATGCTTGGCATAGGACACAACAGCGAGTAAGCAATGTGCCAGGAGCGCACTAGACCCGATAACACTTTTCTTCTTTTTTTTTTTAATTTGCAATAGCACCCTTTCACTCTTCACTTCAAACTATTGTATATATTTTTCCTTCCTCCTTTCGCAACGACGCGCTTTTCACGATTATTTTTCAGTTATTTACGGCACACTTCCATAATTTCTTGCAACGATTATGTATTCTCCGTAGGATTCTAGGTGTTTGTCAAGGAATTTCTATTAATAAATTACACTTTAACTATGAGAAAAACAAGAAATTACATTCCTTAATTCACAAAACTAGAAAGATTTGTAGCGCCATGTTTTCCATTCTTCTGACAGCCGGAGAATAAATCGACAGAGTTGTATTTGGGCTTCTGAGCAATAATTTATAACAGTAATATTATGGCAGACATGACATTTTAATCACATTGAAAGAGATAGCTTTCATATGTACTTTTAAATTTGCTGTGAATAACCGGACTTTGAACTAAATAAACAATCCTTTGCATGATGACGGAGCTAATTATTTTTAAAAACCTACTCAATTAATGATGCAAATATGTTGGCTTAAAATCACTAACCACTCTTACTGTTATATGACAATATAACAGTTACTGATGGAGGCATTCCGAAGTTTGACAGCTGATTTATTCAATTGAAACTTCCGCTTTTGCATATTCTATTTAGAATTTTGCACTCCAGTTAACAGGAAATTAAATTACAGTACATCCAGCAAATATTATTGAAAGTGTTTAAGTTTGAAATATTACTATATTTCTGTTCTAATAACACAGTGTAACTGAACAGTAACTTCACTTTGATAAAAGTGTTTTGCTCGTTAACAAAAATAAGATTATTAACAATTGAGTGTAATACTTTTGATAAGCGAAGTGATTGTTGCGAATTCGTTGACGTTTCTCGTGTGAAAATAGTATGATTACTTTCATCAATGAACCCTAGTCCTGCTTTTGTTATGCGCTAATTTCTTACAAGAATTCTTCAGGCTAACCCCAAAGGTAAATATTTTTGTTACTCATGGATGAATGCATGAACATACATATACATATGTACATCTATAGAGATGAGTTATTTACATATTTATGAATAAAAGTTTATCAGATTTTTTATATCCGCATTACAATCGGATGTTCTAACCTCACTTATTTTATGTAGTATCTTAGTTTTCTGTCAGGGTCTTTTAATTGTTGTAGTGTATCGAACTATTTGATTACGGCGGACATTGGGAACTTTTCTGATAAGGGATATGGGCATTAATACATATGTACATTTCCAAAACAATCAAAACTATTTGAGATACATATGTTTTTTTCTGTTACAACTTCAAAGCCCTCTCGCTACATATTAAACTGACGTATTTTAACAAAACAAAAGAAAACAATGTAACTTTTTTTGAATTGCTTGTATTTATTAACATATACTTTTTTTTAATTAAAAGCAATAGCCGCATTAAATATTTCCTTATTGGATTACACTACAGTAACCGCCTTAGCTTTTTGAAATTTCAAGCTCAACGTGGAAGCATGATTTACCCTTAAAATATATAAAACTGTTAATTAAACATCACACTTGAGCAAATTAAATTAAATATCTTACAGTGTCGTGTGTAATATCCGAATCGACAATAATATTGCCTTTGGCCATGCTCAGCATTGCCTTGTATTTGGACAAATCTACGCGGTGATCGTTTCCGCAGATTTTCTCCTAGATTTTCAGAAAATTACAAATGTTATTATATTATTTATATGTAGATTTATATAATATATACTCATATAATTGTGTATGGATACTCACCGCTGGTACTGGGCAACTGGCCGGAGCACCAAATAGTTTTAACATATCCTTTGCTTCATTCGAAACATGTTCTGCGGCAGCGCAAAGGTCGAATTTGCCCTCCTTTAAGACAATACCATCCTTTTGAACTTTAAACTTCGATACAGCTGTATTGAAGGCTTTGTTTGTTACGCAGCCCGAAGGCACAATTTCACAGTTTTTATTAAGTTTCACAGCAAAAGCATCATCCAGCATAATAATAGCATCAGGTCCGGCACAATTTTCCACCTTTACAATTCGAGCCTTGTAACCATTCTGCGGCAGTTTCGTTAGTTCAAAAGTTAAAAAAAATTGTACATCAATATTGATTTTATTTTACGTCAAACTTACGCAAGCCATAGCGATTTCGAATGCTACGGCGAAGATCAGTAAAATGAAAGAACTAATAGCAGCCATGTTTTAAACCCTTAGATTCTGCTCTTTTTGATCAATAGCGTAGAATTATAAAAAGTTGAAAGCTAAAAGTATCGTGTGCGCGGCAACATTTATATAGTTGCGTAGTGTCGTAATTCGGACGGGACTAACCATCCGTCAAATGGTTGGTAATTATTTCAAAATTATTCGGCATTTGAATATTGCAATCACTGATCGTTCAGGTTAATTGTGCATACTGATAATGATTACACTGAACGGAGCACAGTCAAAACAAAAATCATCAGCCGTCCACCAACTCTTTTATGAGCTTTTAAATGTATTTTTCTATGTATATATTTTTGCAAAGTTGATTACAAGCAAAATAAAATAAAAAACCATAATAATGAAATACAACCAACACCGCAGTTAGAGTGATTCCTATTGCCGATAATGTTGCATTATTTCAAATTGCCTACACGCTAGCCGCTATTAATTGAGCGATACAAATATATATCGCTTCTAAACGAGGTATATACATATATCCGTTACATTTATTCAAATGTGTTAACAAAGTTTCGAGATTCGCCTTTAGACCTTTTTAGATACGCGCTCTTTTATGAATGGCGCAGGTGGCATTTAACAAAAATATGATGATTATATAAATATATACTGTTTTTTAAATTACTCGCTAAACATTCACATTTTAATATATATATAGGTATATGTGAAAGCGTATTTCATAGATATCGTCGAGAGACGTAATTAAGGGGCTTAGAATCGGTCGGAGAGATCAACAATTAAAATTTGTTATCATTAATGTAAAAATAACTGGATTTGTAATTAACAGGTGTTCAATTAAAATTATTATTTTAGGTTTAATTTATAACAACTAACTGCTGTTTTAAATACTACATTATTGCTAAATTGCAACCAGAGTGACATGAAAGCTTAATGTGCTTAAAAAATGCAAATAGTCGTGTATAGATATTTAACTTCGTGCATTGAAGGTTCAAAAATGTTGAGCTTTTATATAAGCTACCAAAGCCTCTTGTAGCTGTTTTTTGAAAGCATCTCTTTAATAAATCATTGCCTGTCTAAAAACTGCCAACCATAATGACTTTTAGATTCCATGTATAAAGTTGAACGAAAACGTGTGTGAATTTAGTTGGTCTCGCGATTAAATTGTAATTTTTAGGTTATGTATAACTGCACGACTAGCGCGAATGCTCTAAAGTCAAAATTAGTGCATTCAGTTTTTTAAAAGATAATGAAAAACAAAACTATTTAACGAAGATTAACGACTTATATATAGCCATTATTTGGTTCATAGTTAGATACCAGACCGTCTGACAAGCTTTTGGTGAGGAATTTGAATATTATGAGATGATTTTTCTGAAACTTATTTCAGAGGAAGGCTTATGTTATGGCATAATAAATAAAATAATATCATACGGGAAAATCTTTAATGCGGTTAAATAATGATGATTGATTCGTTTAAGGAGCTGCCTGAAAGTTTTGTGTCAAAAAATGTTTATACAATTTATTATATTATTACTCTGCTCTGATGCTGGATCGTGATAAATATGCAGTGGATTGTAATTTAGTTAAAACTGGAGCAATCTATATATGAATTTCTAAAGAACTTTTTTTAAGCACTAAGTTTCATTAAGGAGTTTCATGGATTTCACGGCTTCAAAAAAATATATTTGTTTATTGTCTTATTTAATAACATAACACTAGAATATTGTCTTAAGCTCTCAAGTTGATCCGATTAATAGTTTTGTAGATTTCGAGCTCGAGATCAGCTACATATACATATAGTCACTTAAAACTTTAAACACGTTTTTCTCAAAACTGTGTCTTTAAAGTCGGTTGCCAAGATTACTCGCGAACTACTCAATCGATCTTAATAAAATTTTACATAGATATATAATTTACAAGGTCTTGAACGAAGGAGTTTGTTTCGTGCAATAACAACGATTTAAAAAAAAAGACGTCGAGAAATTTTTAACAAAATTTGTATTTTTGTGTAAAAATGTCTGTCAAAAACACAATTTTCACATTTTTGTTTTTGCTTCGAGCAATTCCTAGTTTATTGACAATATTCCATTTTTTGCTCGAAGAAACCCATATAACACCATATAATATAAATTAAGATTAGTCTTGTTACTCAATATAATCGAACTTTTACAAAAGGTAAAGGATCAATATTGACTAGGACTGACCTTAGTCGTAAAGAAACAGCTGTCAAAGACACACTAATTGACATATAGAGATCAAACTTCAAATGAACATATAAAAAGTTTATAGCAATATAGGAACAGAATATGTATCAATGGAGTTTAAATGAACCAGTCTGAGTCAATTTTGATCTCGATCATATATAATTTAAATATCTGAGTTTCATGTCTCATCTTTTATGTCCGATCTTTAATTAAATTGATGCCTGTTTCATTAAAATTTTATTAACATTCTACTAAACAATCAGATCTATCGCGATCCTCTCTATCTTTATATGACCTTTTGTGTATCGCTTGCAACAAATACACATTAACTTTTCCTGCAGCAGCGCTTGCATATTAAAATTGCAGCGAATGCAACAAAAACATAACATTCGCTCCACACTTGCAGCAAGTACACGAACCAACGGAAACCGCTGCTTGTGCACATTGCTTGCAGTCGAGACACGAACGCAAATGAAGGCGATGATAAATACGCTAAAAAACTATATACACGAACAAAAATATATGCATATTTGTAGTGGTGTAAGATTTGGGGGCATTTTGGTTGCGAAAGAGTTTGTTATTAAAGCGTTGAACAGTTGAGCAGCGGAATTCAAAGTGTTTATTACGGAAGCGGACTCGCGCAAAGCGACGGTGCAATTCATAGAATAGTGAAATATACAAATTAACGCGACTATTAAACTGTCAATACACAGTGGTAATGATTACGTCTAATTTATTGTGAAATATAATATAAAACTACATTATGTAAAGAGGCTTGCAGTATTGAAAAGTGTGAAAGCATTTGTGTGCACTTGTGAAATTTGCAAAACGCTAATAAAAAATTGTGGAATGAGCAATTTGGCGCAAAATTTGACAGCTGCAATTTGTTTGAGTTGTTGTCTTCGATGTTTTATGCATATTTATTAGAAATTGTGCGCATTTCAAAAATTGCAAATTTTTCGTATCTTTATACCAAATATTATATTATAAACTTGAACTTGTGTTAGTTTGTGTTATGTGTGTAATTGAGTGCCTTAAGAAACATATGCGTTATTAGACAACATGCTATATAAAATGGAAATAAAAATATGCTTATACTTACAATAAAGCTGTATCCACAGGTGGTTTCGCTGTTAAGTGCGCTACATGCAAACACACATATACACATATTTATGTGTGGCATTTGTCTTTTCATTTAAGCGGTTTTGCTGATTACTATCAATTACTTTTATTCTCGAGTGTTCGTAACTTTTATTGTGCTTCGCTATTTAACTGTTTTGTATTCTGCTTAGTGTTGTGTTTGTTAGATAGTAGATATTAATATTCGCGTACTTAATGAATTTCAGTGAAGTATTTCACTCATTGAAGACGTGCTACGGCAAAGTATTAATAATAAACTTATGAAGAAATACTAGTACATATGCAAGTACGTATGAATATACGGTAGATTTGTGATAATATATATGTGTACATACCTGTATGTAAGTTGGACATACATGCGTCAGCAATAAGCTGTTCGATGACGGTGTATTGTTGATTGGTTATGATTGACAGAGTGTCACTCGGAAGCTAATCATACCGGAAGGACAACAAATGTTCATATATGTCTGCATGCATATGTAATGACATATTTACTTAAGGCATGTTGACAAAAACAAACAAACATTAGCGGCAGTAGAAAAAATTTGTGTGTAAATTGCGCAATTTTTTAAATATTAATAAAATTACTTTGAATATTTAACAATTTACTTTTTATTATATTATAGATATTATTATTAATATTTTTACATACATAATATAAGGCATATATATTGTGCTTAGACTGAAATATTACGTTTATACACACTCTTATATTTATTAGCCATACCATACATATGTGTACATATGTATGTAAATGTTAGTTCAGTATATTAAACACATTTTTCCGTACTCAATTCTTACCTTCTCGCTTAACTTTATTTGCGCATGATTCATCCACTCCAATCCAATATGAGTGTGTTTGTTGCTTAGTGGTAGCAGTCAAAGTCATTTCAGTCAGATGCTTCACCGTTTCCGTTGTACTTGTAAGCCATATACAAGCATATACATACATATACATATGTATATGGTATTTTATTGCATTTCATTTTGTGAACTGTCTCATTTTACCTCAAGTTAAATAACAAAACTGAAACAAATAAAGCAAAACAAGTTAACAATACGCATACAATTTCAATAAAAAAAAAACTAAAAATGGAAAAAATATTTACAATCGTAAGAGAATGAATTGAAAACAAAACGGGTAATAAGTTAATCATTAAACATTCTTTCTTTTGCTTTACCGTTCGTACAAACGTTTGTTAACTGCTTAAATTTTGGTCAAATCAGATTGCAGTGAGAGTAAGAAAGCGTTGTAAAAAGGCACGATTTCGTTAAATGCAGCGAGTGAAATAAAAAACTGTGTATTACTACTACCTGCTTTCGAAAGGTTAAAAACACGCTTATGTGTATAACTTTATACATACGAAACACATACAAACAGCTTCTTTTGTGCTATAGAACGAGTTTATATGCGCGTTTGTCTGTTATTGACCGCTGGCGAGTCACCAATTGTTGAGCTTTTTCACGGTTATTGACAGTCATTTATATACTGTTTGCATTGGTAAGTAAAAGAAACAACTTAATTTTTTAAAACTAATTCATAAAATATTTTATAATTTTTTTTATAAATCTTTAGTTTTATAATTGCCAAAAGCAATGTTATTTAAAATTTGTATGTTGTCTAAAGCAAGTACTTATTACAACAAAAATATATGCTATTATGTCATTTTTCATATAAAAGTAATGTCAGTATACATGAAAAGTAAAATAATATTCCAGTTTTTATTACAACAAAAAATAAATTCTGTTATGATATTTTTCACAAAAAAGTGACGTCAGTTTACAGCAAAGTAAAAAAAAAAAATACACTCCACGACCATAAGGTTATCAAAACCCTAAACAGCTACCCAAAATGCGCAATATGCACAATTATTCTGGTTACTAAGTTCTAAAATTATGAAAGCAAACACCACATATGATGGATCTCTCTGCACATATTTACTTTTTCTGGTAAAGTCATTTTGAGGATTACATATATACATATACATGCATACATACATAAGTACATCTGCTAGTAACTCATTTGAAATTCGTGCAAACAAAATATTGTACCATTTAAGAACCAAATTAATATTGCGTTCTTGACGCACTTTGCAGTTAATCAACGGTTTTTGCTTTTGGCTCCCAATTCGCTAAATGCAAATGTAATTTTGTTACGCTCTTAACAATTTACACATATGTCGGTATTTAAATTAAGTATAAGTATACATATAAAATCGCATTTATTTGCTTGGTTGTTGTGTTTGTTTGTTTTTGCACTTAGTTAAGAACACACAAACACACATTTCCAATATGCTGACAAACAGAGATGATCTCATTTGGTACTTGCTTTGCTCATACTTCGGGCACACTCAAATACCCAGATGCATATATGAGTACAACTACAAATATCTTCTCAATATATTATATTTTGCATACATGTATATTACATACAGATATGGCAAAGCCTATAGCAATAAATTTTAAGCGAATTTTTGCAAATATTTTTAATTACTTTTTCTTTTCTAGTTTTTGCAAAAATTAGAACTTTACCGTTTTATAAATGGTTTGAGAGAATTTGCGTACGTACTCACATATTTTATTAATATGTCACAAATGTTATCGGTAAAAACGACTATATACCTATATATATATACGAGCGTTTGCAAGCTTAATAAATAAAGTCAATAACTTTGTGTAATTAAATTTGTTATTGAAATTATTTTTACCTTAAAAATTTTAAAATTTTATTATTCGTTCGAATTATTTGCAAACGAAGTTACTTGCGTAATTTACATACATACATGTATGCGTGGAAATATACATAACATATGTACAATACATATAAAAAGACAGAGCATTCAGTTTGTATGGCAGCTATAGAATATAGTGATCTGATCTGAACAATTTGTTTGGAGATTGTACTGTTGCTGCTTGTTTCGTGAAGATATCTCGTCAAATAAAAAATGTTTTCATACAAGAATTTGATATTAATCGGTCCCTTTGTGTGGCAGCTACATATATTATTTTATAGGGGTTCGATATCGGCGGTTCTAACAAATGCAACTTCTTGGGCAGAAAAATACTTTTGTAAATTTTCCGATCGATATCTCCAAAACAGAGAGACTAGTTCGCTTTAATATAGACGGGCAGACAGACATACATGGCTAAATCGACTCAGCTCGTATATATATATATTCTTTGGTTCTCTGACGCTTCCTTTTGGGTGTTACCAACATCGTGGCAAACTTAATATACCCTGTTCAGGGTATACATATATATTTGTAACAGTGTTGTGTTATTTTCGCTGTTTTTTTTTTTAATTTTCTACTAGTTCCCAACCTCAAAACTACTTGTCTTGCACCAATATTAAGTAATAGTGATATTCTTAAGCTTTTATATTAAAAAAAAAGTTAATGAATTTTGTGATTTACAGATATTTATTAAGTGTATTGAACGTATGTATTTCTGCGCATTCATATATTATACTTTCAAGCACAATCTCAATAATTTTCAAACCCAACGGACACTCTCTTTTTCATATATCGCAGAAATATTCGAAGAATACCGAATTCAACTGAACCGGAATGAGATAAAACTTTAGCTATTATCAGTAAGGAAGTATTCGAAAATTGCCGTTTGTCTTAAAATCCAAACTGCCTTACGAATGCATGTTGCTTTGTGATAAATAATCAAAACTTAAGTGAAAAAAATATAAACATATTTGATACGTTGCTATATAAGCGATAAGTTATGCTGGGGCGTTGGGAATAATTCATTGAAATCGGAATGAATGAACGATAAAAGTCACAATCGTTAATTTTTATTTATTCCTTCAAAAAAATTTCGCTTGTGGAGGACTTGTTTACTCATTGCGCGATTTGCTGCTGATTGTATGAAATTGATTTGTGTCGGCTGTGAGACCGCTACTTAGTAAAAAGAACTACTAAAGCGCTACTTGGTAATCAAAGAGCTGTAGCAACAACAACAAAATGGAATAAATAATTATTATTATAAGAAAGAAAATCAAGTAAGGAAGAACCAAGTTCGGGCGTAACCGAACATTTTATACTCTTGCAACGTATAAGTATACCTCAAAGGCACCATTTGTGTTAAGTTTTATCCGAATATATTCATTGGTGCTTGATTTGTGTACTGGAAAGTGAATCATATGGAATTTAAAATTGTGCTATATGAGAAGTAGGCGTGGTTGTAGTCCGATTACGTCCATTTTCACAATGTGACATAGGATCATAAGGGTTATATTAACTACCGAATTTAGTTGAAATTGGTCGAGTAGGACCGGAAATGTGTGATTTCGCCTAAATGTGGGCGGTGCCACGTTTATCTTCTTATTTTGACCCCGCTTCCTATTAAGCTCTCTTGCATCATCCTGGGGTAAAATTTATTGTCTCTGCCGCATTCGTTTATGGATTTATAGCGCTTTAAGTTGTTTTTAACGAAACCGTTATATGGGGAGAAGGCGGGGTTATAATCCAATATCATCCATTTTCACACTATCGGTAAGGGTTCTTATAGAACTTGTCTTGAGTGAATTTGGTTATTTTAGCTTCAGTGGCTTAGAAGATATGTTTATTAAACCTGTTAGAGGGCGAAGCTACAGCTTTTTCTCAAAAAAAATTTAGTACACAGGTGTCTTTCGTCACTGCAATCCCTTGTGCCAAATTACATTTTAACATCTTTATTTGGTGCTTAGATATGGCAAGTTATCGCTTGCACAGACGGACAGACAGACAGTAACTCGGAATTCAACTCCTCTCGTTATCCTGATCATTTATATAGGTATAACCCTATATCTAACTCGATTAGCTTGAGGTGATACAAACAACCGTTAGATGAACAAAACTATTATACTCTATAGCAACATGTTGCAAGAGTATAAAAACAGGGTGTGAAAACGAAAACATATGTATACTTATTTATATGTGCATTGGAATAAACACAATACTAGAAATATGAAAACAGAAAAATATGTGGTTTGGCTGAGCGCCAACAAAGCTCAAGACAATTATACTAGTCGTGAGTGATATGCACAATATTCAAAGTACGAGTATATTTATCTAATATGAAATGGATTCTTTTTCGTTTTCTTAGCGCCGGTTAATGTCTTCCGACTCAGATAGGGTCACAGTTGTTAGATCACTATGCTTTTATTAAACGTCTTAAGAAATAGTTTGCATGCTAGGAATAAAATAAGAGTAAAAAATAAGTTTAAAAATAAATAAAAAAACTTAGTTGTTTGTTATAAAAAGGCTTACCATTATTAATTAAATATTGTATATTTATACAGCGAGTTCGCTGGTGGGATTTTCTCTTCTGTGTTCGATTTATCCCACTTGTTTGTTAGAGCCACCACTCATCAAGTTCTTCATATGACATTCATCTATATATTATATTAGCGTATAATATATTATGTAAGTAGAATTTGAAGTGTCGGCAAATCTAAGTTCCCACCTTGACACTTTTATACAATCCAGAAATTTTTCGTTTTGTGTATGAAAATATTTCGATACACACATGTACTCATCTCTCTTATTCTTCGAGAAAATTTCCTCTATTCGCCGCCAAAAATGCAAGGTTAGAGTGCAAATGCCAGATCGTTAGATCGAGCTATGCTTATCACTAACTTTGTTGAAAATTTTGACTAGCGACAAAATTTTGGGTGCAAGTCAAATTTAGCTAAGGCAATTGTTGAGGATGAGAGTACTGCCTAAAGATGTTTTTTTTTATTTTTTATTTTTATTTTGACAAATATACTCGTACTTTATTTATTGACATCGCTAAGGTTAATATGGAGGGAGCCGCTTACCGCGTAGAAACAAACCTTTTGTACCATCACAACTTTGCGATAAGCAAAACAAACACATTTGAAGGCGTCATAATCAGTTGAAAACACATGAATATCGTGTACACATGTGTGTGTACATGAATGCTATTATCTAACTATTGCATTTTTGTATAGATATGACGTGCATGCATGCTAATATGTACATATGTATGATATTATACCTAATATATACGCAATTGAATTACATATCTACATTAACAATTATGTAAGTATGTACGAGTGTAAATGGTGAATTTATCTGCAGATAACAGCAATTATCAGTGCCTGCCAGCAACTTTGTTCAAATTTATGCTCTGCACGCTAATAAAAATGGCTAGCATAATAGTTTTTTATCAGCAAATTTATTGCGCGTACATACATATGGTACGTACATATATATATATGTACATATATCTATAAATAAGACTTATTTGTGTTCGCATATAAGACAAGCAATATATTTATGTAACCATAATCAATTAACATGTTGTTTTGGAAATTCAACGACATTGACAATTACATGTATAATATCATGATATAAAATTTATTGTGATTTTTTTTTGTTTTACAACTTTTATGTTTTACTTTTTTAGCTGCTCTGCAATTATATATACTTAATATGCGTGTTTTACACACTCCATATATATTTTGGGGTTATTTTACATATTCATATA